GATAGAACGATAGATAGATAGATAGAACGATATAGATAGATAGATAGATAGATAGATAGATGATAGAACGATAGATAGATAGATAGAACGATATAGATAGATAGATAGATAGATAGATAGATGATAGAACGATAGATAGATAGATAGATAGATATATACAGTAGATAGATAGATAGATAGATAGTGGACGTAGACTGTAATGTTCACACATAAATGGCTTTGTATGGATGACTGAGTAAGCTGTGTGGCTTTATGAGGATCTGTGTGACTTTCACACAGTCTGTTGTAATTCAATGCACTGCGTTTGCCTGTTAGTTCCATTGAGCTGGTAGTGAGAGCTCTTTTGTTGCCTCTTTTTATAACACCACACCCCCAAGACCACACCCATCACCGCTGCTACGATGCCAACGATAATGGCTGCGATCATGGGCCCACGGCCTGAACCGTGACAGGGGTCTTCTGCACAAGCACCCTCTCCAGCCCGCTCCTGTTGATCAAGGCTGTGATCTCCACCTCTTTCCATCACGCTCCGATTTTCAGGGTTTTCAGTTGGGACGTGACCAGGGATGTGCTCCAGCAAGTGGTCATCGAAGGTTTCCCATGGATCCTTGATGACGGGTGTTAGCATGCTGGTGATATAATCAGGTGGACCATCCAGATGTACCATCCCAGAAGGCGTGGATGTGTTCTCAGGGCCCAAGCCGCCTTGACTGGTGCTCACGTTTTCAGGAGCGGAAGCCGGTGTGTACGACATGGGCCGCTTGTGTACAGCAGTATCATCTGGACTGGGTGTAATCTGAGTAATGAAGGTGGTGGGCTTCACCTCCACGCCATTTGGACTGTCAGTAACACCATCAAACCCCAATGTTTTGGATCCATCAGAGTCTGTTTTCTCTGGTGTGTACGTTTCTTTCACCATTTCATCTTCTGAAAGTCCTTCAATTGTTTCCTCATAAGGTGTTACAACAGACTCTTCCTTTTCAAGTCTGATTGTCCCTTTACCGAGCTCCTCCTCGTCTCCTTTCATGTGGATTGTGTCCTCAGGAGTTTTTATTTCTCCATCTTCGTCCTCCTCAGGGTTGTCAATCAAACCCCCGGTCTCTTCTTCCACTGGGTTTTTGGTTACATCCTCAAACACCTCAACTTCCGAGTGGCCAGGCAAGGTCTCTGTTTCTGACTCTGCACCTTGTTCTGGCCCTGCCTCCCCTGTGGACTCACCTCCAGCTTTATCTTCATCCTGAGTAACAGGGTATCCATCTAGCCAGGACTCGTCTGAGCCGCCGGCACTGGGACTGGTAGGTTCATCGGTGGGAGGATCTGTCGTATAGTCACTTTCCTCTGCGATAATGTCAGGACCAGACTGGCTGTTGGTTGTTTTGACCGTCATGTGACTCTCATCTTCATTGGGGTTTTTAACAGAGGAGAAATCAGTGGAGATACCCGGCTGCTCCTTCTCTTCCTGGAAGGCCTCTGAAGGGAACCAGAACATGTGCTTCTGACTGAGTTGAGACACTGGAGGTTCAGAGACTGATATAGTTGAATCTCCATCATTCTCCTTCTCCTCCTCAGACATGACTGTCCGCTCAGGCTCTGGCTCAGGCTCAGGAGAGGATTCTTCTACTTCATGAACAGTGGACTGCGTTCCTCCTGGATTCAAAGAAATATGATGCTCCTCCCTCGGATTCTCAAGGAGATGGCCATCTGTGAACTTATCTTCATAGTCGATGTGGCCTTCAGAATCATCTGCAACAAATAAAACATATTGAAGACTACGCAGCTACACCCAAAAGCCAAATAAACCCTTTGAACCTCAAGAATTATGCATCTTGGAGCCTCTGTCTCATATTCAGCATGGCTCCTTTTATTTTTAAATCGAATCATTGTGTTCGCAGCTCACCTTTCACGCAATGCTGCACCAGGCCATACCATTCTCCACAACTGTCGCAAAGCAGGCTGAAGCCCATATCTCCATTGGGAAGTTTGTATCCTGGGTCACAGCTATACAGAAGTTCATCCCCGAGGTCCAGACCAGTTTTCCCCTGCAGATGTGAGTGTGGGAATGAAGGTGGCTGCCCACATGGAGCATCTGATGGATGAAAGGTGAAGAGCGTGTCATAAATTATAAAAGAAACATTTCATAAAGTGAAAAGGTTCAATTACATGTAAAGCCAGTTTCACTCTGCACACTGTCAGACTCACATTGTGACAGCATTCTGTAGAGACAGCTATAGAAAAGAAAAGTAATTTCTGGAGTAATATATTGAATAATCCCTTTATTAACATCATAAATTATAAAAGGGTTATAGGAGGTTGGCTGCTGAGAATCTTTACCAATGTGATGGTAGTGAAAGATAAATATACTAAAATGTTTTTGAAATACATTTATACTACAAATACATTTACATATATATGTGCTTAATAAAAATACCCTGCAGTTGTACATTTAGTATACTACTCTGGTATACTTAAAGTTTGCTAAATTGGAACAACAAATTTTATACTTAATGCACTTTAATTGTGCAGAAGTAGTGCTGAACTAAAGATATACTGAAGTATTTGATTGTGCTAAAGTGGAACTATTATATACTTTGGGTACACTTTAAATATCTTCCATTAAAGACTGATATTATTCAAAGATCATACAATCCTCATCAATAATGACATTAAAACATTAAATTTTAGGCTTAATATTAAGAAATATGCATTGTGCACAAAGTAGTACTCCATATAAAGTTTAATTATAATTTTGATATCAGTAAGTCTCAAGTCATATGTCAGGAAATATGCTAATAGATTTGAACTATACTAGCGAGAGGCAGTAGTTAAATCAAGTTTTTTTCAGCTCAGGCTCCTTGCTAAGGTGAAGGGTTTTTTAACTTGTGCTGAGTTCGAGAGAGCTATACGTGCTTTTATCTCATCTCGACTAGACTACTGCAATTCAATTTATATTGGTATTAACCAATCATGAATCGCCTGCAAACAGTACAAAATGCAGCTGCTAGACTTTTGACTGGCACTCGCAATTACGAGCATATTACCCCTGTCCTACTCTCTTTGCACTAGCTGCCAGTCCATTTTAAAACAGAGTTTAAAATTTTACTTTTTGTTTTTAAGGTTTTAAATGGACTGGCACCTTCGTATCTTTCTGACCTTTTGAGTTTAAGTGGAACTATTATATACTTTGGGTACACTTTAAATATCTTCCATTAAAGACTGATATTATTCAAAGATCATACAATCCTCATCAATAATGACATTAAAACATTAAATTTTAGGCTTAATATTAAGAAATATGCATTGTGCACAAAGTAGTACTCCATATAAAGTTTAATTATAATTTTGATATCAGTAAGTCTCAAGTCATATGTCAGGAAATATGCTAATAGATTTGAACTATACTAGCGAGAGGCAGTAGTTAAATCAAGTTTTTTTCAGCTCAGGCTCCTTGCTAAGGTGAAGGGTTTTTTAACTTGTGCTGAGTTCGAGAGAGCTATACGTGCTTTTATCTCATCTCGACTAGACTACTGCAATTCAATTTATATTGGTATTAACCAATCATGAATCGCCTACAAACAGTACAAAATGCAGCTGCTAGACTTTTGACTGGCACTCGCAATTACGAGCATATTACCCCTGTCCTACTCTCTTTGCACTAGCTGCCAGTCCATTTTAAAACAGAGTTTAAAATTTTACTTTTTGTTTTTAAGGTTTTAAATGGACTGGCACCTTCGTATCTTTCTGACCTTTTGAGTTTACACAGTCCAGCTAGATGTCTAAGGTCATCGAATCAGAATCTCTTATTGGTCCCTAGATCTAGGTTGAAGAAAAAAGGTAACCGGGCTTTTGCCATAGCCGGCCCTAAACTGTGGAACAGCCTTCCAATCTCTATTAGAACAATTGCAACAGAATCCCTTTTTAAAACAAGGCTTAAAGCCTACCTCTTTGAGAAGGCTTTTAGTGTATGAGCCAACAGGAGTTTATTATTTCAAATTATTATTTGTTTGTCGTGTCTTACCATTTTATGTATTTTGATTCCTTTTAAACTATATTGTTCAGCACAATGGTCAACCATTGTTGTTTTATTGTGCTTTATAAATAAAATAAATGAAATGAAATGAAATATACTTAGTATGAAATAAATTGATTTTTTACTAGGAGAAATATAATTAACATGAAGATGGGAAGCACATTTACATCCAAATGGCAATTACTCCAAATCCCAAGCTATAAACTAAATAGTTGAAATAGTCTGGATTTTACCTTTATTTGTTTATTTTTTATTTAATGAAAGGAGTCCCTCACAAGATCATCATATTTGGGGGTCCTTGACATAAAAAGTTTAGAAACTCCTCTGTGTTGGCACTGAAACTAACACACATGCTTTTGCTCTTCTGTTTTCACATGCGGTATGAAACAGGCCAAAGTCTTTAGGTATGTGTTACATGAAATAGTCCCTCATGATCCCTCATAAGTGAAAAAACACAGTCCCCTTCTCCAGTTTCTTATTTGTTTGTCGTGTCTTACCATTTTATGTATTTTGATTCCTTTTAAACTATATTGTTCAGCACAATGGTCAACCATTGTTGTTTTATTGTGCTTTATAAATAAAATAAATGAAATGAAATGAAATATACTTAGTATGAAATAAATTGATTTTTTACTAGGGGAAATATAATTAACATGAAGATGGGAAGCACATTTACATCCAAATGGCAATTACTCCAAATCCCAAGCTATAAACTAAATAGTTGAAATAGTCTGGATTTTACCTTTATTTGTTTATTTTTTATTTAATGAAAGGAGTCCCTCACAAGATCATCATATTTGGGGGTCCTTGACATAAAAAGTTTAGAAACTCCTCTGTGTTGGCACTGAAACTAACACACATGCTTTTGCTCTTCTGTTTTCACATGCGGTATGAAACAGGCCAAAGTCTTTAGGTATGTGTTACATGAAATAGTCATTATTTGTTTGTCGTGTCTTACCATTTTATGTATTTTGATTCCTTTTAAACTATATTGTTCAGCACAATGGTCAACCATTGTTGTTTTATTGTGCTTTATAAATAAAATAAATTAAATTGAAATGAAATATACTTAGTATGAAATAAATTGATTTTTTACTAGGAGAAATATAATTAACATGAAGATGGGAAGCACATTTACATCCAAATGGCAATTACTCCAAATCCCATTACGAGCATATTACCCCTGTCCTACTCTCTTTGCACTAGCTGCCAGTCCATTTTAAAACAGAGTTTAAAATTTTACTTTTTGTTTTTAAGGTTTTAAATGGACTGGCACCTTCGTATCTTTCTGACCTTTTGAGTTTACACAGTCCAGCTAGATGTCTAAGGTCATCGAATCAGAAACTTTTATTGGTTCCTAGATCTAGGCTGAAGAGAAAAGGTGACCGGGCTTTTGCCATAGCCGGCCCTAAATTGTGGAACAGCCTTCCAATCTCTATTAGAACAATTGCAACAGAATCCCTTTTTAAAACAAGGCTTAAAGCCTACCTCTTTGAGAAGGCATTTAGTGTATGAGCCAACAGGAGTTTATTATTTCAAATTATTATTTGTTTGTCGTGTCTTACCATTTTATGTATTTTGATTCCTTTTAAACTATATTGTTCAGCACAATGGTCAACCATTGTTGTTTTATTGTGCTTTATAAATAAAATAAATGAAATGAAATGAAATATACTTAGTATGAAATAAATTGATTTTTTACTAGGAGAAATATAATTAACATGAAGATGGGAAGCACATTTACATCCAAATGGCAATTACTCCAAATCCCAAGCTATAAACTAAATAGTTGAAATAGTCTGGATTTTACCTTTATTTGTTTATTTTTTATTTAATGAAAGGAGTCCCTCACAAGATCATCATATTTGGGGGTCCTTGACATAAAAAGTTTAGAAACTCCTCTGTGTTGGCACTGAAACTAACACACATGCTTTTGCTCTTCTGTTTTCACATGCGGTATGAAACAGGCCAAAGTCTTTAGGTATGTGTTACATGAAATAGTCCCTCATGATCCCTCATAAGTGAAAAAACACAGTCCCCTTCTCCAGTTTCAGTGATTTAAAACTGACCGCTATCTTTCACGCAGAACACGCCCAGTCTCTCAGTGTCCGCAGTTAAATTCTCCAACTGCACATCAACTGGCCTCAAACTCCCCGGGACGCCGCTGCACACTGTAGTCCTGAAAGTAAATTAGAGGAATTCTTTCTCAATTTTTTTTGTCTTTTCCATTATAAAGGCAACAGACATGATGTCACTGTTAAATTCTGCTTACATAGTCAGCTCATGTACTATTTCAACACACACACTTTATGCAGTATATCCCCATCACATTGCTATGTCTCCAGTGTTTGTATAAATTTACATAGCAGGTCTCTTTTCTGTCGTGCGTGCGTATGTTTTTAAAGCTTGTGTCGGCCAGTACCACTCTCTGATTGTGTGTCTGTTAGAACAAAAATGCGAGAGTGATTAAAATATGCAATAAGCCACAAGAAACTCATAATATTTGGGGTCTTTGGCATTAAAAATCTGGAAAACCCTGCATTACAGTGATTTTACCACGCGGCGTTTGTAGACAACGCAAAACAGAGTGTCTTAAAACCCTATAATAGTGATCAACAATTAATCAACATTTAGAAAAACATTTAATCATTAAACAGTTGAACAAATAAAAAGTATTATTAATCACCAGAATAAATAGCTCTTCCACCAAGTGATTTTGTTCATTATTTTAACTGTAGGATGTTCGCAGTTTCCAAGCAATATAGCAATGTGCTGCATTAAAATAGAATGTGACGTTTGCATTTATAGTCATTTTACAATGGCTTCAAACAGAACTATCAATTATTTAAAACTTGACTTCAAGAAGTCAGTCAAGGTTTCTGAATATACTGTGCATGACTATAACCAAGAATGTCTGTCTGTTTCACCCCAAATCTTTTAGAGACATTCCTCCAAATGTTTGTGAGGGAAGTACATTGCTTACCTCACCTTTTAACACTCAGCTGTGAGGTCTTAATCAGAATTATGAGCATGTGGGTATGTCTGAGTGGGTGCAGAGGGGGGCTCAAACCACAACCAGACTGCTTGAGTCCTTACCAGACCGGACTCTCCTGGGACAGTGTTAAGTTACTAGGAAACACCCATGTCAAAGTTTAGTTATTAAGGCTCAGCTGCACTGAGGTAGATTGTAGATTTTCACGTGTATGTCATTTATGTGCAATTTATGTGTCACGACCAAGAAATCCATGTGTAATCTATAGGTTGTTCTGAAGGGAAGGCCACTCCTTTTGGCAAAACTTGCAGATGCAAGTGATATTCAACAAAGGCCTCAGACATTCACAAATTCATACTTGATAACAACAGAATGCTTTGAATTTTGTATTCCAGACTTATTAGAAAGAAGTGTACAGCTTAGAACAAACAATACTGAAGTAAGCTTATTTTTCTTACCCCATTGCTTTTTTCTTGTAAGCATAAATGTAAGTGAATATATATAATTGTTCAAAAGTTTAGGTTCAGTAATACTAACTAATCAGTAAGCAAGGATGATCAAAAGTGACAGTAAGGACAACATTTCTACATTACAAATATGCTGTTCTTTTGAATTTTCTATGCATCAAAAAAAAAAAAAACCTGAAAAAAATGTGCCAAGGTTTCCAATTAAGGAATTAATTACTTTTGTTGATAATAATTCAAATATTTATTGATCATCAAATCAGCATATTAGAATGATTTCTAAAGGACCATGAGACACTGAAGACTGGAGTAATGATGCTGAAAATTCAAATTTCCAATCACAGGAATAAATTACATTTTAAAATATATTCAAATAGAACATAAAATTAAATATATTTAAATTGTAATAATATTTCACAATATCACAATTTTACTGTATTTTAATATGCAGCCTTGATTTTGAACATAAACCTAATATATGTACCAAATTGTAAATTATGTGTATTACAATAAAATGTAATACCTACTATATTTTATACAGTAAATATTATTATATATTATTATAATATATATTATTTATTACTATATAAAAATATAATGTTTTGCCATTTGGTTTGATATTTTGTTATCCAAGTCAATGCAATTCATATTTTATGTATTTCTTTACTAATACTTTTAGGGCCCACTATATATATTTCATTTGAAAAAGAAAGAGTCGTTTTGGGCCACATTTTCGATGTGATAATTATTTTGGGATTTGTGCGTAGTGGTAAAGTAATACACCTCAGCAATGGAGCAGCACAGAAAATGAACACACGGAAGGTGCTGATGTGTTCCCTCACAGCAGCTCAGGTCCATTTCTCTCAGGCCCTGAGGTGTAAATAGGAATGTTCTGGCTGAATTCACAGGTAGGATTCTCTCTGTCTTGCAATCACACACAAAAACACAGATATACGCAAGCAAGCTAGCTCATTATTGTGCCTCAAAAAAGCACAATGCCCGTTCAACAAAACAACACTTTGATTGACAGCATCATATTCTTCAGGTAATTAATGTTCTTACCCAACACTCGGTCCGGCGAGCCAACCACGCGAGCAGGCTGAGAAGGCACATTCCAACACTGCATGATGCAGGTGGGCCCCGGATGCCACCTGGGCCCCTTGGGCCATACAGGCATGTGTTGCTGCCTCGAACCCTTTCTCCTGTCCACCTTTTGGAAAACTCTCCAACTCCAGTAAAAACACACGTCCTAATGGAGAGACTGGTAAAAAATAAACCAGTGTTACTCCTAGAATGCACATTTTGCATTACATTAGTGAGAATACATTACCTCAAACAGGGGAAATGAGAAGGACATCAAGAAATTAGGAGAATGCAATGAATTACAGCATCAAAGAGCTTTGTATGGCTAAAGGCAATTTTTAACAGCAGGATATTACCTGAATAGGGTCGAGTGAGGGCGGTTACTGTATAAAGTGTATTTAGCAGTGTTTTGGCAGTGTGAAGGTGTAAAGCTATACCAAATGAGGGTTAAAAAACAGAGATAAACAGTAAATATAAAGACAAACAGAAATCAGGTTCAAAATGAATCGTCATATACTCTTAAAAATAAAAATAAAGGTTCTTTATCAGCATTTATGGTTCCATGTAGAACTGTTCAACTGCACAAAAAGCTGATTATGGTCAAAAATGTTTCTTTAGATTATTTAAAAGTTTCGCCTTTGGCATTGTTGCAAAAAACAAAACAAAAAAAGGGTACAAACATAAATCCATTTTTATCACAAGCCCCACCCTGACAGACTATACTGTACACACATACAATATAAACACACATCAGACAGCATCCTATCAAATCTTACACAAGGAAGCTCCTTAATAACATCATTAGTTTGTCACAGTCTCACACAGAGGAAATAAAATAGCAGCTTCAGTGAGTCAATTCCTATGTAAACCATCTGAAATTGAGCTAATTATAGATCAAAATTAAACCGAGGTTACATGCACATCACCAAACATGAGGGTACAAACATAAATCCATTTTTATCACAAGCCCCACCCTGACAGACTATATTGTACACACATACAATATAAACACACATCAGACAGCATCCTATCAAATCTTACACAAGGCAGCTCCTTAATAACATCATTAGTTTGTCACAGTCTCACACAGAGGAAATAAAATAGCAGCTTCAGTGAGTCAATTCCTATGTAAACCATCTGAAATTGAGCTAATTATAGATCAAAATTAAACCGAGGTTACATGCACATCACCAAACATGCAGCATTTCCCCCCTCATAATAGAATAATGTCTCATGCCTCCATGTCTAATAAATACACATCAGTTAACATCATCATTTGGGATCAATTTGAATTGGAACAGATAAAGTTAGCAGGTTGGTGTCAGTGAGGTAAATCCAGACTGAGTCATGTTCAGAAGTCTGACTAATCAAGCAGACCCACCACAAACAACCCGTCATCTATCAATCGTTTGTTACAAATTCATTAGTGTCATATTGATGAGTCTGTTATGCTGATGTGAAGATATCAGGGGTTTGTGGTGGATGAACATGAAATTCATTAAGTGAATTAGATCTTTAGGTAAAGGATTTTGACTCCACTAACAACTAAAAAGGAATGTATGACAGCAAACATGTATAGACTACAGTACATGTGTGAGAAAGGCCAGTTAAACATACTTTAACATACTTCAACATACAATACTAAGAGCCTCTAAGACTCTAAAACTATGAGATAAAAATAGGGTAGATGCTTTATGTTGTGTTTGGATTGCAGTCAATTTTTTTTTTAATAATTAAAAAAGCCTACAACAACAGACCAAAAACACATAAGCCATATTTTTTTCTAACATTAGTCATGAATAAGTTTTATTTCATTTGACTTGAACTAAACAGTTCATTAAAAATATGAGAATATGTGGTTTTTCATAAAAATCATACTGACACACAGTGAAACATCTAAAGGGGTCCTATCAGTTGTATAGTTTTCTTGTCACATGACAACAAAATAGCTTCTTTCATGTTGGATAGGCCAGACTGACTTTGAATTTGGCTGACAAAATTATTTTAAATATTAATATTTTACAACAACAACAACAAAAGATTCATTTGATAAATAATACTTATTACAGACTATCATTTTCTCTTTTTTCTCAAGAATTTCAGTCTTTGAATGAGCCTCCAGACACCATCTAGACTTTTTTTTAACTTTAAGTTGCATAAGAAAATTATTAAAACAAATTGAATATATTCAAGTCACTCTATAAACTGATTTTTAAAGTATTTTTAAATAACTTAATAGAATGAACAAAGATGGATCACTGACCCATGCATTTATATATATTTATACATTATATATATATATTTAAAAAGTGAAACTTATTTTATTTCAGATTTTCTCATTTTCATTTAGTTTAACTTGATGTACCAAAATAACTCAAAATTCAAGCTGTATTAAAATGTAATACAATTTTAATATAGACATTAAAAGAAACTAGAAATGACAAAAAAAAATTTTTTTTATAAAATTACTTAAAAAAGAATATACAACTATACACACACACACAAAGATTTATAACCACACACAATCCAAACAACTTTCTAATCTTTTGGAAGCTGGACACACGCATGCGTCCATTCATCACCTCGCGTAAATGTGTATTGCAGCGCGTGAAACAAATGACCGCAACCAGATCATCAAGAGAAACCCACCGTCCGCGCGCGTCAGGCAAGCCAAGCATCCCAGCAGCGGCAGGAGCGCGAGCTCTCGGTGACAGGCTCGCCCCATAATGAAACAGTGTTTCTGAAAACTTTTCCAAATCTGCCAGGAAAGGTGAAAAATCCCAATTGAATTGCGCTCTCCAAACGGACAGGTCCGATGATTCCGGTAGCCGAGAGAAAAGAACTAATAGGCGCAGTGACAGAGGTGCAAGGGGAGGTTTATCTGACCAAGAGGTACATTACCGAGCTGCTCGTGCGCTCGTGCGAAAACTCGCACGGCGTTGTCAGTAAATACGTCATGACTCAGAACCTGTGCAGTACCGCATGAGACCAGATGCTCCAAGCACTGGGATTGTTCCAGTGCCGTGGGGAGTCCGGCTCATAATGGTTTGTGCCTCCCTGGTACAGAGGAAAGTTTGCCACCGTGTAATGTGTTTTTTTTTTCTTTTTTAGGACCGGACCCTTAATTTTGGTGAGTCTTTGTCACCATAGCGCTCTTGGCTGCATGTCAAGTTCAGAACGAGGAGGACAAAACCAACTGTGTCTGTGTCCCAAATTCTTGGGGCCAACCTCAGGACACAGTAACTTTGATGAAGCTGCCCAATATGTGACGCGAAAGCATAATGGGTGTCTTGGCCCACTACAACCACCCACAAACACACACTCCCACTCACATTCATTTAATTGTAAAGGCTTTTATGTGTACGCCTGTGCTGGAGAAAGAGATAGTGAGAGTGAATTAGCAAGTATGTTTGTTTTTTAGTGAGTAAGTGGCAGGATTGTGGCCAGCGCAGGCTGAGTGTGTCTGAACAGCTTCTAATGTTATTTACTTCAATAACAGAGCTATGTGTGATCCTAAATTCCTTACCTTATTATTTAGTCAAGGTATTAGCCAAACAATTACAGCTTAAAGCCGGCACACACATAGTGCTAGAACTTTTGTGAATGTACATAAATTTGAACTACACTGACTTTTTATCACTTTGCAATGGAAATGCTACTTTTCAATGTTCTCTGAACATTTTGAAACCTGTAGTAATGAACATCCAACTAAAATGTTTCAGAAAAACATTCCATTAATGATGTATAATAACATAATAATTTGTGCTAACGTTTTGAGAACGTTATTAAAGACCAGATAACTTTAAATAAACGTTAATTTAATGCTACTGGAATAATGTTTGTTCTTAACTTTGAAAGAACCTTGCCCAGAATGTTAGCCAAAATTCTGAGAATGTCTCCTGTTAGCTGGGGCTTTTTGGTCAAATTATACACTTCTTATTTTTATATCAATCCGTTCTATTTCTGACATTCATTTGTTGACAAAACATTCTTTTCATAGTCTTCTGGCTCATTCACACAGTCTTTGGCAAACTGGTAGCTTGGCTTCCATCTTGTTGTCCTGCCATGCACACCATTCTTGTTCAGTCCCTGATGGTGGCCTCCTGGACAACCTTAGCCAATGCAAGAGAGGCCTGTAGATGCTGATATTACTCTGGGGTTCTTTGGAACCTTCTGGAATCTTGCTCTTGGAGTGATTTTTGTTGGATGTCACTCCTAGTTAGAGTAACAGCTATGTTAAAGTTCCTCCCTTCTTCCATTTTTAAAGACCAAACTCCTTAGTTCTGTAACCTTTTCCAGCCTCAAACTGATGCAGAAATAACGAGTTTTTAGCAAGACCATATGTACACAAACTGCATCTCTTGCCGGGAAGTACCTACAGTCCTACTAAACGTGATAGCTGAATAATGACTAACTGGGAGATACTTAAAGACTGTTCAATAGCTGAATAATTACTAATGGGAAAATAATCAAGCGCCGTTCACAGACTGAAAAATCATGAAAGATCAAGTCACCTGCAGTGCGGCTCTCTTTCGCCCTCTGCTGTTGACCAGGAATACTGCATTGCAAAAACACTGTCTATTCATATACAGAAATTAGCATTTTATGACATTCAGACTGTGTCTGATTTTTCAGGGCTGTAAAAAATAAAAACCCCCAAAAAAACCCATTTTTTTTGAGAGAGATTTTGTACCTTACTGAAGTATTACTGAATTTAGTTGCATTTCCCAGATATAGCCTAATAATACACAGCTTTTCTATTTAATTTAGACTTCCAAAGTACATAGTAAATTTTTTGCATGTCATCATGCCATGGCATTGCTGAAGACAGACAAACTTGTGTAAACAGACAGCAATAATTTTATGACAATTCAACTACCAATCAGCAATAAAGCTGTATTTAACAGTCTCAGCTAATTGGTTTCAGGATACTGGTTACAGTTTAACATTTGATGATGTTAATAGAGACTTTCAAAACAAGGACATTTAAATGAAATAAAAATACGTAAATATAGTTTAATGTGGAAATGTTTTACTTGTCTGTGTTGGTTAGATGCTTTGAAACTAAAGCGAATACAATTATGACACAGTGTCCATATTTTCACATAAGCATGAATGCACATCTGCTCTGCTAACATTGAGACATTGTGCCAAAATATAGTCGATGACATTTAATTCTGTATGAATAAAGTGTCACTTTTCACTTCCCTACACTTCCATTTGTGTGTTAACCACGACACACCTATGCAACCTCATACATCATTACCAAAACAAACCCACCACGCGTGTTTTTCCCGCAAAAGTGACGTCAGGGCAGCCACTAGTTTGAACCCCTGGAGCGCACGAGCGCGTTCTCAACTCCAGTGCTATTCTTTAAGCTTATTTGCCAGACAGCCCTGGCATTTTATTGGCGTCGTTTAAAGATTAAGCAGCACTCACTTCAGGCAGGAATTTGCGCTCGAGCGGAAATGTAGTCAGAGAGGCAGCTCGGGAGGCGGAAGTGAGGTTAGAGCAGCAGTCTGCTCCGTCCATATTATTATTGTTATTTTGGCTGTGTGATGGTTCACGGACGGCGGCCAGCCCGGGATTTCTCCGGTTACCAGCGCAGACACGAACGGCTAGCAAGCCACACGTTACAGCTGCGCGTCTGTCTCACTATAGTTTGATCGCCAGCGTTGACAAAACGCGCAAACGTCGCTGTGCGCAGCGCTCGCCGAGGACTGTCTTTATTATTGACACTGCAACAGACATGAACGGCATCACCAAGGGCAGATTTGAGGTAACTCATATCGAGCGAACTGTGATATTTTGCCCGAGGAAATGAAAACGGGCGGTGGCAGGCTGTCTGAGCGATGACAGTGTGTTTAAGCGTCTGTTTGTGTTGGTGGGCGCGCGCTCGTGAGCGAGTGACTGCGTGCGTGCGTGTCTGCAAGGGTACTGTGTGTGTGTTTTGGACCGAGCAGGGCTCTATTTTTACGTGCCGTGTTTAGGCTTTTGTTCGTCAAGGGTAATCCCGTCCTAACACAACGGCACCAGCTGACCGTGTCAGCAACGGGCGCTGCGCCTGAATCCGTTTAACGTTAGAGTTGGCTGGTGTTCTTGGAGTTTAGATCAAGCTGATTGACTTGCTGACGTGCCCTGAATGCGAGGTCTTGAGAAGATGTCACAAAGCAGCAGTTATCTAAGACACTCGCTGATGCTATTTGTCCTTCTTGTGCAAGTGTTATGGGTGAAGTTGCACCAGGCCGAGGCGTGTCTGAACCAGCTTTGAGCATATTGATTGTGCATGAGCATAACTGATGCTGTATGAGCTTTATTATGTAATTCATCTGTGTCATGTCGTATTGTCCAGGTGTTCTCAAACAGTGATGAGGCCCTAATCAACAAAAAACTTCCCAAAGAGCTTCTGCTCAGGTGAGCCCATCAGAATTAATGACTCTTATTGCAATAGATGGCAGATTACGTTGTAATAAATTTTGTGAATATCTATCTGCATGTCTGTCTCTGTATCTATCTATCTGTCTGTCTGTCTGACTATCTTCCTATCTATTTGTTGGTCTGTCTATCATTCTATCATTCCATCTATCGTTCTGTCTGTATGTCTAACTTGCATGTCTGTCTGTGTCTGTATGTCTACCTGAATGTTTTCAGTTTTCAAATTAAAATAGCTTTATTAGCCTGACATACTTCTGTATGTACTGTCAAAACATTACAGAAAGTGAGCAGAGAGGAAAAAAACAGAATAATAAACAAAAATAAACAAGTAATCAAAAATCTGTTTTTATTTCAGGATTTTCTCTTTCCTGGATGTAGTTACATTGTGTAGGTGTGCCCAAGTATCAAAGGTATGTTCAATTGCTTGTTTAGTTAAAATTAAACGAAACTGTCTAGTAAAATAGTTTTCTAACAATACTTCTTCCTTTTCTCTGTGGATAAACAGGCGTGGAATGTTCTTGCATTAGATGGAAGTAACTGGCAGAAGATTGATCTTTTCAACTTTCAGACAGATATTGAGGTGAAAAAGCACGTGTCAAGTAAATGTTTTGGTTTGTGATTGCAGACACAGTCTTGTGTGTTATCGGCTTTTGCTTTGTATGTATCAGTTTTCATCAGTAATATGTTGCTGTGTGCTTTAAATTGTCTGTCTGTGGGCGTTATGTGTGTGGGATTAACACTGGGTCAGTAGGCTTTTCTACGGAATCCATAGACTGTAACGTCATCCCTGATCCTCTGTGCCTGAGCTCTCTCTCTCTCTCTCTCTCTCTCTCTCTCTGTGTCTTTCTATTAGGGACGTGTCGTGGAGAACATCTCGAAGCGATGTGGGGGGTTTTTGAGGCAGCTCAGTCTTCGGGGCTGCCTCAGTGTGGGAGATGCCTCCATGAAGTGAGCCGCATTACTTTTTGTTAATTAAAACATGCACTGTAGAATTGCGCAGTTCATGCAATAATGAAATTGTCCAATCAAAGTATAAAACAGCGTTTGGCTGCATTTAAGCAACTCAAAGTAGCAAGTTATTAAAGCTATCTCAGTAAATCAGTTTTTGTCGTTAACTGGATGTGATTTGTGGTGTTTTGTAGAGCACTTTTGAATGGCCCCGCCCATTATGAATATTATTGGTCCCTTTCCATATAATTGCATATTACATATCAAATATCTTTCAAATAGCTAATTGGATTGTGCAGCAGTTTAGCTTTCACTGTGACAAATGTCTTGTCGCTGGAAATGTCATATTGCGGCTGGTTAGGAGATGGTGTAAGGATTATTTGTTGCTGTTGTTGTTTGCACCATGTTTACCATTTTTATTGTGTAGTTTTTCTGTTTAAATTGTCAGCTGAGAGGTTTCCTTTGATTTGACAGGACCTTTGCTCAGAACTGTCGCAACATTGAACATCTGAACCTCAATGGCTGCACCAAGATCACAGACTCCACCTGCATCAGCCTTAGCAAGTTCTGCTCCAAACTTCGCCAACTTGACCTGACATCCTGCGTGTCCATCACCAATCATGCACTTAAGGCCTTAAGGTGGGGCAGTCATAAGGTCTTGGGGACCAAATTTAGGGCTGGTTTATTTGTTTTGATTGTGTAATTAATGTTAAATAGCATGATGTTTATTGGACAGAAAATCGTTGTCCTGAGCGTAAAATTGCTTCATTTTGTCAGGAGTTAAAGACTCCAATTTTAAACACTTGATGACCTTAAAGCTAATACACATGGACTAAAAAATGCAAAACTGTGATTTTGGTTTTATGGAGTTTTTAAAACTTAACTGGGGAGTGTTAAATCAAAGCCTAGTTTTGATTTAATTGTGTCAGGAGGTTGGCTTTGTTAATGATTATGAGTCTGTCACCGTAATGAATCTTTTCCACAGTTGTAGTAGATTATTCTGTATGAGCTGGTGAAACAGGAAATTCTGAGAGGGAATATTTAAACGACGAAGAGCAATTATTAACTCATTGTTAGACATTTGAGATAATTGCTGTTTATATTCCCACATCTTAACAGTGCATGGTATGGTTTGAAATTCAGAAAGTACATTTTAAAAAGAAAATATTTATATTATATTTATATTTATTATTATTTAAAAGTTTTGGAAACAAATTTGAGTGGTTTATTGATCCTCATAAGAGGAGTTTATTATAACAGAAAAAACGGGGAAAAAAAATTATTTTTTTGTTTTTTTTTGTAATCAAAATTCTTTTTTTTAACCGATTGAGTATTGTTGTTTTTACTCTACTGGTTAGCGGTTTAAAAGTTTACTTTTTTTTCCTTTTAAATAACATTATTTTGTGTTTTTTGTGTTTGCTAGTTTTGGATAGTGCATGGATAAATGTTGTTTAAAGGGATAGTTCACCCAAAAATGAAAATTAACCCATAATTTACTCGCCCTCAAGCCATCCTAGGTGTATATGACTTTCTTCTTTCAAACGAATACAATCGGAGTTATATTTAAAAACATCCTGGCTCTTCCAAGCTTTATAATGGCAGTTATTTTTCAATAGTCCAAAAGAAGTCCAATAAAGCACATCAATCCATAATAAAAACAGCCTCACATGGCTCCGGGGGGCTGAATAAAGGCCTCCTGTAGTGAATCAGTGCTTTTTTTGTAAGAAAAATATCCATATTAAAAACTTTATAAACACTAATCTCTTTCTCGTTCACAAAAGAGCACCGTTCCGGCGGATGACGTAGGACGTCGGCTTAGCGTAAGCTCCGGTGAGAAGTGACAAACATGGAAGTGCAGAGGAGAGAGCAAAACAAAACACTGGAGATTTAGAAAATACTGGAGATTTTAGAAATTAGAAGTAAAAATCAAGGATTTGTAAAGAAAAATGTCAGAGGATTTCAATATAAGCCAAGAGAAGACTGGTTTTCCTTTGCTAAAGTAAGGAAACTTTGCTTCCTTTGCTCCTGTAAACAAACGTTGGTTCTCACGAGACTTACGCTATGCCTACATCCTATGTCATCCGCTGGAACTCATGGGGTAATTTTCATTTTTGGGTAAACTATCCGTTTAAGTTATTTTTTAACATTTTGTTTGCTTAATATTTTCTTATTGGCTCTTTCTGTCTGCTAGTGAGGGCTGTCGGATGTTGGAGAATCTGAACCTGTCCTGGTGTGATCAGATCACGAGTGATGGCATCGAGGCTCTCAGCCGTGGCTGTACAAGTCTCAGAGCTCTGTTTCTGAGAGGCTGTACACAGGTGCATACATCTATACAAGCACACGCTTACACAAAACACTTTGAGAGAAATCATTGACAGTGTAACATAATAATTGTTAAATGTGCCATTTCAGCTTGATGATGCTGCACTGAAGCACCTTCAAAAGCACTGTCCTGAGCTCATGACAATCAACATGCAATCATGCACAGTAAGACTTTGAATTATTACTATGCTGTTGTTAAATATTGCAAATACACACAATGTAAATTTGTTGGACATAACTAAGATGCTTTCTCCATCTTGCAGCAAATCACAGATGACGGCTTTGTGAGTTTGTGCCGCGGTTGTCACAAACTGCAGATGGTTTGTGTGTCTGGCTGCAGCAACATCACAGACGCTTCTCTGACTGCCCTCGGCCTCAACTGCCAACAGCTCAAGTAAAGCTTTCTTCATCTGTACGCAGATAAGCACACATACCCACACAAGTCGTTCATTCACATTGCATGTGTCTTCCTCAGGATCCTGGAGGCTGCTCGCTGCTCACATGTGACTGATGCTGGTTTTACTGTTCTTGCCAGAGTGAGTAATCACACAAACACCCCAAATCAACAAAACATAAACGCATTGGATTTAGAGAGCATGCTTTGTGTTAGAAGACATTGCTGATGTGGGAGGATTCCTAAACAAACTATGCCTTCTGTTTTAGAATTGTCATGATTTGGAGAAGATGGATTTAGAGGAATGTATTTTGGTGAGTTTAAAATTCCTAAGTAGTTATTTGGTGTATCGTTCCTAGTCATCATGGACAAGTTTTCTTTTTTTTTGTGCGTTGAAGGGTAAAATGTAGTTATTTTTATTAGCATATTCACATAAATAATGATAAGATATAATATGTAATGTGCTATACATTTATTATAGCTGATAATATTGTAAATATTAATATAAAATAAATATAGACTATCATTCAAAAGTGTGGGATTGGTAAGATTTTTGAAATGTTTCTGAAAAAAGTTCCTTATGCTCATAAAGACTGAGGCTGTATCCGAAATCGCCCCCTATACCCTCATTCACTATTCCCTAGGTTAGTCCACTCATACAGTTCACTTGAAGTAGTGAATGAAAACGAGTGAGTGAATTCGGACACTGAGTGTACCGGAAGGACTGCCGCTTTTGCATAGTTTGCTTGCTGTAATAATCATTTGAAACGGGCAGCTCCAGTAGTAAGATTAAAGGATTTATCTTGAACTCTGTCACGGAAATTATGTATAAACCCTAGTTAAACAATTTAATAGTCAATTTACAGTGAATTTGTACCCGTGTTGTATTACGCTGTGGACGAGCGCGTTGTAAAATGAATGGATGATTCAGCTGCAGGCGCCATCTTCTGGCAAGACAGATGCGGGAATTCATTCGGCGTGCGACTCTCACAGTGCATTATGGGTTATCTCTTGCTGTTGAGTGTACGTCTGTTGTACACTCGTTTTTGTGGTGCATTGTTGGATTGAATGAGTGCACTCGAGAACGTCCACTATGGTTTTGGACACCACTAAAAAAGGCTGTTCCCTCAAATAGTGCCCTCTTTGAGGGTATAGGGGGTGATTTCGGATACAGCCTGAATTTATTTGAATAAATACACTAAAATACACTTCTATTTCAGTAAAATTTAATTTATTCCTGTGATGCAAAGCTGAATTTTCAGCAGCCATTACTCCATTCTTCAGTGTCACATGATCAGAAATCATTCTAATATGCTGATTTGCTGCTCAAGAAACATTTCTAATATCAATGGTGAAAAACGTTGTGCTGATTAATATTTTTTGGGGAAATTGTGATTTATTTGAAATATAAATCTTTTGTAACTTTTACTTTCACTTCGATCAATTAAATGCATCCTTGCCGAATAAAAGTATTAATTTCTTTAAAGAAAGAAAATCTTACTAACCCCAAAATTTTGAATGGTGTTGTATTTATATGGGGTAAGTTGTCACAAGGCAGCCTACAACCAAATTTAAACAGTAAAACAACTGAAACAAAGAAACAATGTAAAACCATGAAAAATGTAAACAATTTATCCAAATTGTTTATTTTCTAAATGAATTTTTGATATTCTAATTAATCATTAAATATTCTAAATGTATGTCATTTATTACAATGAAAAGGTGAAAAAACTTGTGCTACCAGCACAGGTCAAATTTTCAGTAAAGTCTACCTCTACTATAAAGCCAAAGTATTCTTAGGCTTTCTTTTTACTGCTGTTGAGCTGTGTCTGTTCCTTGCAACAATTTATCCTGATTAGTCAGCATTCTAATATTAATGTTCTGTGTCTGTACGTGCCATTCAGGTGACTGATAACACTCTGGTTCAGCTCTCAATCCACTGCCCTCGGCTGCAGGCGCTGGTGAGTGTTTGAGAGAGAGTGTGTAGGAGTATTGCTTCCATGCTTAAAGCATGTCCATTTGTTTTCCGAAGCTCACTCTTTGTAGCCTGCTCACTTGGGCATATATATGTGTGTGTGTTTTCTAGAGTCTGTCTCACTGTGAGTTGATAACAGATGATGGAATCAGACACCTGAGCAGCAGTGTGTGTGGTCAGGAGCGTCTGCAGGTCGTGGAGCTGGACAACTGCCCCTTGATCACAGACATCACACTGGAGCATCTCAAGAGTTGCCAGCATCTGGAACGCATTGAGCTCTATGACTGCCAGCAGGTCACCCGTGCAGGCATCAAACGAATCCGGGTCTGTGGAAAATAATCGCTAGATATGTCACAACTCCCACACATAGTCTCAAATGCAACAACCACATACAGACAAAAATGATCCCCAATTATGCGCAGATTCAAATGTGCAGTGTCTGTTTACAGTGCTGGCAAGTAAAGCATGTAAATACTTATGAGTACTTGACAGCAATAATCAGTCACAAAAATATGTTAATTATGTCACTTTTTCAGTTTCATACTGATGACATTACAATCTGTAACATCTACAATCAAATGTCAAAAAGGGCCTTATTTTTAGTTTCATTGGTTGCTGTGTCATTTTGGGAGTAAACTGTGGCCTGTTTTGTTGAACAGCAATTTGTGTCAATACCAACTGTGGTTACTTGCAGTCGGGGCCAGCTTTTTTTTACACATATTTGCACTTTTCTAGTAAATCAGTTAGCAGCAGTTTAATACAGAGCCTGCCTATAAATGCCGTAACATTAATTGAATACAATGTAATTTCTTCAATATTTTTTGTATCTAACTGTTTATTCTTAATTGAGATTTTTAATTGAGACATTTTAGACTTATTTTAAGAAAAACAACTTTGCATAAATATATTGAACACTTGGGAAACAGGCAATATTTCTTTATTAAAGTGTTTTACCACCATTTGGCTTTAATACAGATTCTAACCTTGTTAGAATAGATTCATACAACTTTTAAATAGTCTCCAGGTGATTGCCGTTTATCAGAACATCTGCCAGTTGTTTTAGAGATGTTGGAGGAGGGAATCGGATTCTCATGTCGTCTCAAAACCCTCCCACAGTGGTTGGGTCACATGATTTGTCTAGCCAGGGCAGATGTTGAGGTTCAGTCTGGTCAAAGACTTTAGATGTACAAAGATTGTGTCTTTGAACAATGATTGTGTCACTGCAGCTGCCGTTAGAAGCTCCGGTTACTATCCACCTTATTTTTCAGTGCAGAAGTTTGCCGTTTTCTGTGAGTGTGTGAGACTTCTGGTTCATTAGCCACTGTAGGGAAATAGCGAGAAGAATAACAAAGTGCAGTAAAAGGTAAAACTGTTTGCACTACAAACCATTGTGTTCATAATTAAGATAACACATTAAAATAATATGGTAAGACACACCAGTTTGCATTATCAAGCAGCAAAACAAGTGGTTTTGTACAGCTAAAAATAGCTGGAAGCAAATGAGACCGGAAACCACACACATTACATTTACAAATGGCCGTGCCGCTCTTACGGGAAAAATAAGGCGGATAGAATCATTTAACGTTCTGAGATGCGCGCTTAGGATTGCACGTGCATCAGCTGGTCTAACCTGAAAAATAAGCTTTTCTGACACTATTTGAGCATAAGAAACAACATTAATGTGATGGCGGTCATCCGATTTTATTGGTTATTTCAAATATAAAATTTAATGGTAAGCTTGGTTTTGGAGAACTTTATGTTTCCCCGTTCAAAGAGATAGGAGCTGCTCTTACATGACTGAAATAGCTGCGAGAGAGGCGTTTCAAACATGGCCGCCGAGTGAAATTACTTGCCTTAGAGGGACTTTGGTTTGGTGCTCCAACTGTCCAGGTTTTGTGATAGACACTTTTTTTTTTTTTTTTTGCATTGGTGCCTGTGATTAAGGTTTTAGAAATTGCAGCTTTTTCATAAATGTTGTGAAGTTCTCTGTGGTCGGTTTTTTGAAAAAACAGGGTGTTCCAGTTGAATATTGAGGTTTGCTGTCACTTTGCTGCAGTAGATCTGTGTTGTTTGGACACAATCTATGATTTACTTGAAGTTTTCGCTGATACAGTCTTGCCATGCTTCATGTACACAGTCATAATTGTAAAGACTCATAAAAACACCAAACAATTGGGCCATTAGGGTTACAGATGCTCCTGCTAAATGGGATGCCCAGGATTTGTCTATTTTGGAAATCTGGCAAGTCACCCATTTCACCCATGGCTTGTACTAAGTACAACCTACAGAACATAGACAATAAAAAGATGAATAAAAGATTGCAACATTTGTTTTTTTCACTGTAGCATACATCAATTATATTAACCATTATAATAATGGGTGTTTATACACACACACATATATATATATATATATATATATACATATATTATCAATAAATCTATCATTCTAATTGTTTTATTGAAGCAGTCTTATTTTATTCTATCAAAAAGTAGAAATAAAACTATTAAAAATATTGGTTAGTAATGGACTTATCTTGCTTCAATATACAATATTGCTTTACTACAGACTTATTCTATTTAATTCTTCCATTTAAAGTCTTCTGTGTTAATCTTGAGTTTTGGTCTAGACCAGTGTTTCTCAACCCTGGTCCTGGGCGCCCCCCAGCACTGCACATTTTGTGTGTCTCCCTAATCGACCTGAAATGGGTGTGTCAGAATTAAGGGAGACATACAAAATGTGCAGTGTTGGGGGGCGCTCAGGACCAGGGTTGAGAAACACTGGTCTAGACCAAACCTGACAAGCGATAGGATATATTTATTTATTTTTAGATTGTAGAGAAAAATGACTCAATCCAGTTGTTATGTCATATTCTGCCTTCTGGCTCATTCTGCTGTTGTTTCTCCTGTAGGCTCACCTTCCTGAGATCAAGGTCCACGCATACTTTGCCCCGGTCACACCTCCTCCTTCAGTGCACGGAGGTGGTCAGCGTCTCTGCCGCTGCTGCGTCATACTCTGACAGAAGGAGGGGCTTCTGGGAGATCCCATAGAAAGTCAAGCTGTCAGACAACCTCTAAACTCTGCCCTGCCTCTGCTCCACACCACTACGAGACGCTGTGTGGGGTTGTGGCTACGGGAGGCATGGCTTGTTCACTGAGCGGTTGCCTGGCAGCAGGATGGACCTGAACAAGTTAAGCAAAATAAATACAATGCAACGTGACATACGATACCACCTACTGGATATACAAGAAGAAAAATCAAGGAGCTACCATGTAAAATATTTCATATTTGGATATATAGTAAACAAATCGAAGGAAGTGCTTAAAGCATTATGGAACTACTGAATATAGAACCGATACGCAAACAACATTGAGGCATTTTGATGCCGTTATGACGACTACACAGTGTTTACGTCCTGCTCCTCTTCCTCAACCAACAGGAATGCATTCTCTCACAACGAGAACAAATAGAAAGAACAGAAAACGAGCAGCAGGATGCAAGTCTCTGGAGTTTTGTAGGATACGCCTCCCGCCGATTGATCATGTGACTTTCTCGAACCTGAGAGCAGGAAGCTTTGAGCATTTCTGTCTGGTTTTGCGTGTGTGTGTGAGAATGTTTAAGTATAGAAAACAAAATATAACACTACAATGAATCAACCCGTATTAAAACTGGAGTAAAATGTTTTTTATTTTCTGTTTTCTGCTCACCCTAATTTTGAGAGGATGAAAATTTACCTGAGCGAGGGGAAGAGAAGGACTGCGATTGTGCATGCGAGATAAAGTGGATTTTACTCCAGTGTGGAGTTACAGTACGTCACAAATGATGTGAATGTTCAAATTTAGACAATATACATGTGCTAAGGAAGGGTTGAGGGGAGGGGGTACATCAGGAATAGGTTATCATAAGTTTCACAATGTTTCAGTGCAATATTAAAAGCCCATGCGCATGTAACTGGTATGTGACAGGATTAAGAACACTCCGTATTCTGGCATTTCTTCAATATTTCAAAGTATTCTCATCACAGTGTCCCTTCCCTGTATATTTACTGCCTATTACACTTTATTAAAGGCATAGTTCACCCCAAAATAAAAATTCTGTCATAAGTTTCCCACCCTCATGCCATTCCAAACCTGTATGATTTTATCTGTGGAACACAGAAGAGCATATTTTGAAAAAAAATGTTTTTGTGTCTAGTCGATATGGTTTGGACTGCAGCATTCTACCATAATGTCATCTTTTGTGTTTCATTAAAGAAAGTCATACTGGTTTGAAACAACACGAGGATGAGTAAATGATGACAGAATGTTCTTTTTTTTTTTTTTTTGGTTGAACTAGATCAGATGAGCGTAATATGTAAATAATATATACAAAAGTCGACAGTATATATACGCCAAGGTGAAAATATCAAAACTTAACCAAGCAATCATGATTTAAAGTGATGGTTCTGCAAAGAATGAAACTTCTGTTATCTTCTCAGCCTCATTTTGTCTTTATGTGTGGAACAAAAAATGTTCGTCTCAGTCCATATTCACATTCATTGTATAGACCAAGAGGCAATGAAGAAGAATGGTGACCAAGAGTTTAATTTTGCTTGAAATCTCCTTTTGTGTTTCATAGAATAAAGAAAGTCATACAGGTTTGGTACAAAGTGAATAACAAAAATTTCATTTTTGGGTAAACCATCCCTGTAAGTTTGTCCCTAAGTCTCATGCATAAAACTGATATTCAACATAGGTTTGATGCATAACATTGCATATTTAAAATCATGTTGAGTCTTGCTGATGAAAACAGATGCTGACTTGATCATCTACGCATTGGAAATGTTTTTTGTCCGTGTGAGTGCCTTTAATTTTGCAACGAGAGAGGGGTGGGTTACAGCCACAGAACTGCTCAGGGCTGCCATGTAGTTCATATTTTTCTCTTGTATTCCCCCTATTTAAGTTGGTTTTTGCCATTGGATATGATGATGGTGAAGAAGTGCTTCATCATTTCCTGTCAATGCGTACACCAGTGATTCCAGTATTCTTTATCTCAAACATGCAACCACTTTAGAAGGCAATGCTAAACCTGTCTGCGAAATGAAGTTTGTTTAGAATTGTTCTGTAACAGTTAATCGGTTCCCCTCCTTCTCTCCCATATTTTTTAACAAAGATGAAACAAGTTACCTGAATGTCTTTGTGTTCTGGTTGTTAATGTGACATTTCTTTAAATAAAAGATCTGAGCGGTGTGTCACATTCTGGATTGGTTAATTCTTCTGATTTCATATACTCCTTTTGTTGTTGATATGAATAAAGTGTTTATTTTTGGGGTTATAACAATACATGATTTACCATTTTGGATTTTTAGACCATTTTGCACCACTGATTCACTTAAACTGGCCCTGAAGCCTGTTGTTTTCTGACTCTTCACTGTGTATATGTCCTGTAGACATGTATGTTTGAAAATGTAGCTTATCAAGCTTGCAGTAATGTCAATAGGGTTTTGATAAAAGAGTTTCAAACTATTAACAAAAAGTTAGCTCCATACGAACGGCTTAATTTTAATATATTATAATAAATAGAAAATAGAATAAATGATTAAAAATGGCACAGACAATCATGATCTCAATTCAAACAGGAACATATATATACTATAAAATAACCAGATAACTTTTTGGATTACTCATATAAACTGCAGATAACCTTTATTTTATGAAATTATTGAATAAAGAAAGTTTTTCTTTCTAAAAAGCTTAAGATAAACCTAAATATTTGGGATATAGATTTTGGTTGTAACCTGTTAATATATTGTAATAATAATGTGTATATGTATATGTATGTTTGAAATGTAGTATGCACTATATTTAGTACATTCTATTAATGTGGTTTGTGGTAAAAGGTCATTTAGTATGAATATATATATATATTTATGAATTAATCCTATAGGAATCGTATGGCATACACGTTTAATGCCACTAAGGGGAGATGGAAGAACATATTGAAAATACAATTTGTGTTGTATGGAAACAAGCTTGTTTCTTATTCATCTTCATGGTGCTTTTAAGTGCACAAAATGGTTCGTTGAAATGTTTATTTATAAAATTATTATAATAATACGAAGATGTCATAATTAAGAAATAATCATAATTTATTAATATATTCAAATCTTCTACAACTTGTTTCAGTCAATAATACCATGAGGAAAAGTGTCAACATACTGGAATAACCAGAATCATCATCAAAAATATACATTACGGATACATTAATAATAATAATAATAATAATAATGTGTTTACTAAATGGTAATGTTAACAATAATAACAACAACAACAATAATTAATATTTTTACAATAATAGCATTAAAATGTGTAGTAGTCACTGATCTATATGTCATTATATAGATCAGTGGTAGTAGTACTAGTGGTAATAATAATAATAATAAGCACGTATAGTGTCTCTCCTGATACTATATAATAAACATACATGTTGTCTCTATTCTAATAGTGTCGCACTGCACAGTAATGAATTGTGTACCAATGAGCATATTTTCATTCAGGCATCATGCTGGACATCTGTGCGGCGTTGAAGGACCTCAAAGCCTCGGCCCAATCACTCTTCCTCGGGATCGTTTGCTATTCAACACTCCAGTATTGCGGCTACTGGCGGTCTAGTAACGTTAGCCGTGATCGCGTCGTGAGCTCAGAAGGCAGCTGTCAAAGCGCGGATTATTTTTGGATTAAGTGTAAACAGGAGAGCAGCGCGCGTCCCGGTGTCTCATCCACTCATCACCCGAGCGGCGTGAAGCGGGCTTTTCTGAAATGGAGGCCAGGAGGGGAGAGAGCCCCGGCGGCAGGCCCCAGGATACTCGACCATAAGGGTTAAAGCTAGCACTGTTAGCCGAGACTGCCTGCACTCGGTCGGATAAATTTCCACAGTTTTTATACTCGCCTCGCCGCGGATCTCTTTTACTTCGCTTTGCGTCACTTTGTTATTTAGTGGAAACACACTTTTTGTTCGGGGGATTAACCATTTTGTTTTTGGAAAACTTTGTCAAAGTTGTTTATTTTCCGTTACTGCATAGTTAATGCACTAAACAACAGACCTAACCACCCTCCGAGTGTCTTTAAACGCAGTATTTGACTTCCTCGTTGCACACATTTCAGTTTCACGTGCCGTTTACGCGACTCCGACAGTCACTCTGTCGTTGTTATTGTTTCGCCGCAAACCTGAGGACTGACCACAAAGCGTCCCGATGGAGGAAAATGACAACATGGACTATTTTTACCAGCAGGTTTTGCAGAAGGACGTGACCCGGCGGCTGCAGGTCGGCCCGGATCTCATAGACTACCTGAGCGACCCGCAGAGGTCCTGGGATGTGGAGCAGGACAAATCCCGCCTGGATAAAACCATGGATGAGCTGACGGGATGGGTCAACTCCAGCAATTACAAGGTACATAGCGTGTGACCTGCTTTGGGGTTTATATTTAAATTAAGTGTCATAAAAGCTGTGTTATAAGCCGTTTGGCACGTATGTTATGAAGGATGCCTGTATTGATCTGGAGTGACAGTCTTGAGCCAAACCCAGCCGTTTATTCTCATAAAGTCTATTATTGCATGCAAATCACTAATTGCATCAGGTTAACGCTATTGTGCATTCATTTCTGTACTGTTCTTTCAAACTGATTGAAAAAAATGCTAATATAACTGTATTTATGAGAAGCTTCTGTGTATGTGTTTAGGTAAAAAGTGTTCAAATAGTACATTAATATCAATGTACATACATACATTACATATTCATTTGTGTCTAGGAGAGAGTGGATTTGCTGGTGGGGGGTGTTGTGAGGATGGGGGAGGGTCGCTTGGGGTATTGTTCTGTTACACTGAGGCTGTAAAGGCACATGTCACTGCAGTTTCTACTAGTAATCCATTTACATATGCTTTTTGTTGTGTTGATTAAGAAAAGCTATTTGTGTTTGGAGATACATGCGAGTCATGTTTAAATGGCCTGTGGATGCAAGCAGAAGCTTTTATGCTGGCTCATGCTGCTGCTAATGTTCAAGGCTGAGGCAAAAATGGTCACTTCTGCAAACAGTGACACTGAAACGGGAAGCATGGAACCAAACATGATTGAGTATTGATGTTTTAAAAGCAGCTTTAGACATTCATCTGTGTTTAATCTTCAGCTGGTAGTCGTGGTCTTCAGGGACTGATGTTAATGGATGGCTATGACATCAGACTCATTGAGGCTGGATTTTAGAAATGATTGAGGGTGATTCATAAATTGGAGACACAGCTGCAGACCTCTACAAATGTATGTGGTTTGATAAATGCAGGGTGTCAAATTCTTTGGCTCACTGGTTGAAGATCTGGTAGACCGTTTTCATCTCTCCACTAAAATATTTTTGTAAATGTAGTTATTTTATTTTATTTTTAAAATTATTTAATATGCACAGTCATTTAAAGTCTTGGAGTCAGTAATTAAAAAAAAAAAAGAAATTAATACTTTTTTCAGCAAGTACACTTTAAATTGATCAAAAGTGACTGCAAAGACATTTATAATGTTACAAAATATTTATTTTTAAAATAAATGCTAATCTTTTTAAAGTTTTTTTTTTTTTTAATCAAAGAATCCTGAAAAGATACATTTTAAAATATTTAAAAATAGAAAACGTTATATTTCACAATATTACAGTTTTTCCACTGTATTTTTAATCATAGAATTGCCTTGGTAAGAGAGACATTTAAAAAATGTACTGTCCCCAAACTAGTGTAATATATATGTACTTTACAATTAATTTTTTAAAATAATTTTAATTCTTTTACAATGAATGCATAATTATAATATTTTCAAATTAATTATAAACTATTTCCAAAATGAAACGCCCAGGTGTTTTCCAGTTTTGCCTTTCAGGTGCACTCTCTCTGTTGTCCTTACTCAGGACTCTCTCTGGCTGCTTTGCCTAAAATAGGTCATAACTGGAACTTCTGGGATGTAGTGAATATTTGATTGTTTCTCTGGAATGTGAACTTCCATCCTGCACTGCCAAGAAACACACTGCAGCGATCCCACCGCAATCCTCAAATATAGTCCGTCTCACAATGTCTTATTTTCATTCACCCACTCTCACACAATAACAATAGTCCTTCTTAAAGACATAGCGCACATCAACACAAAGCTCTGTAACCGATACTGTATCAGATACCGAATAAGCAAAATCATGTGTTTGAAAATGCTGTCCTACAGTTTGCCTGCGAGAGAGGAAGAGTGAGGTTTGACGTTTTCAGCTTATTTGTCTCTTGCTTGTTTGGTGTCAGATTGCATTGCTGGGGATCGATATCGTCAGCGCATTTGTGGATCGGATGACTGATCGCTTCAGAGGTTATATCGGCACAGGTAAGCGATGTGTGCACGCTTGTTGCTTGTTCCACTGAAGTCAGAGCTTCAAAAAGGTAGCATTAGATAAAGATCTTCTCCATTGCATAGCCTAATCAGCAGAAAGGGGAATGCCAGGATGACTTGCCATGTATATGACACAATCCACAGACTCAGTGCTTGTCTCTCAGCTGTTTGAGCCCCGCCTCCTCCTGTTACCACGGGAACGGGTTGTTATGATTATAACAGATGACCCCCCTCACTCATCATACCTCATTCATCTGAAAACATGGAACAAACGGAGTATAGAGAAAGGAATGAGATGACTTCACACAAAAAGTCTGTTTGAGTCTGCCTGGTGTACAACAATGTAGAACGTGACAATAACAAAAAAAAGTAGAAAATAACATTTCTGGTAGACCAAACAGATAGTTTTGTCCCCAATTCGCACCATTAGTTGAGACTGTGTTAAAGCTTTGGGATGCTCAAAAACATATTTGGGGGGGAAAAGTTGTTTATGTTTGGTTTACAAATGGTTGTATTTGCATATTGGATTCTGGGATCAAATCATCAATAATAATTATTATTATTTACAGTAAAATATTAAATTCATAATATATTACTATTTATTACTATTGTAATGTAAATATTGCAATAGAAATTTTTCATATTATTTATTCCATTTATTATTAGCAGTAGTGTTATAGTCATATTGATATAATTACAAAATATGGGACCGTACAAGCAAGTACAGCAAACCTGGAGCTTTTCTTTGAAAAACATTGCGTTTTAAATTGTGCAGCCCTGCATTTTTAGATGACCTTTTAAACCTCTTTTTCGCTTTTTTCCCCACTCAGTGGTGCCTGCATTAGTTGACCGTTTGGGTGATGCAAAGGATCAGGTTCGAGAACAGGCACAAGCACTCATTTTGAAGCTGATGGAGCAGACGGCAACACCCATGGTGAGCTAACTGTACAGCGGGTGGGCAGATCATCACACCCATTCATATTCATACAGACAACAAAACCATAAAGCCACTGTCTAGATTTTGTGTGTGTGTGTGAGCTGCTGGGTGAATAGAATCAAATTTAATCCCTTTTGCCAGTTACTATTGCCAGTGATTCATCATTTCCTTCATAGCTCATCTCATTCGCTCTCTTTTTTTGCAGTAATGGATATGTAATGAACCAGTTACACTGTTTCTTTTTCTCTGTCTCTGTGTAGTATGTTTGGGAGAGGCTGTGTCCTGGCTTCAAACACAAAAACTTCCGCAGTAGAGAGGGACTCTGCTTGTGCTTGGTTGCCACACTAAATGCGTAAGTCCTTCATACAATCCCATACATTCTCACTTTGTAAACAAATCCACATTTTTCCTGGAAATCTTGTCCAACAGGGGGCACTTGTTTTCCATAACACAGTATTTTGATGCAATCAAATCCCCTGGGTTTATCACTGATAGCATCTCAGACATTGCAACCTGTTTTGACATCTAAATTCACTGATATTTAGATGCAATCTACAGACATTCGCTCATACAGGTTCCTTGTCTGTCACACATTGTAAAAAAACTCGGCCCACTGAGGTAATCCTCTTACCTGCCTGTATCGATACCAGGATGGTCAGATTAACAGATTAACATTCTCATTGAAGCACTCGCATACAAACAAAACTAGTTTCTCAGTAACATTACTCCTCACTGTTGACACAAAAGAGCTGTCACATTATCTAAAAAGCCTTATGCTACATTGTTATTGTAATAATAATATGTTGTGTGCAATATAGTTTGCTTTAATTACAAAACAAATTTGAAATTGCTTTGGGTTTTGTATTACATTATGGGTAGTTCAGCCTGAAATGAAAAATTCTGTCATTGTTTACTCAACCTTATGTCGTTCCAATTTACTTGTTGGACTTATTTTGAAAAATGTCTCAGTGTTTGTTTGTTTTTTTGTCCATAAACTGAAAGTCAGTGGGGTTCAATGCTTATTGACAACAGCTGGAGCATGTATTTTTTAAAATGCAAAATAAGCTTATGATTCCAGCTGTGTGTATATACATGCATGGTAATTTGAACTTGCTGTGAACTGTTTGTTTCTCTGTCTCTCTCTCAGTTACGGCGCTCAGCCCTTGAGTTTGAGTAAATTTGTTCCACATCTCTGTTCGCTAACAGGAGACCAAAACCCCCAGGTATGAATCTGAGTCTGTGTATGTTTGTAATGCTTGGAATGTGTGTGAAAAAGTAAAGCGAGTTGGGTGCACTCTCTGTTTCTGTCCTTTGTGTATGTGTGTGAGGGAGGGAGGGAGGGAGGGAGGGAGGCAGTCCGCACTAATGTTAGGTTTCTAGACATGTACAGCTGCACTGAAAGTCAGTGGGGTTCAATGCTTATTGACAACAGCTGGAGCATGTATTTTTTAAAATGCAAAATAAGCTTATGATTCCAACTGTGTGTATATACATGCATGGTAATTTGAACTTGCTGTGAACTGTTTGTTTCTCTGTCTCTCTCTCAGTTACGGCGCTCAGCCCTTGAGTTTGAGTAAATTTGTTCCACATCTCTGTTCGCTAACAGGAGACCAAAACCCCCAGGTACATGTACAGCTGAGTTCAAGCTCCCGCTGGGCGAATGTTCCACTCACAGAGAAGAGCATTAGATTTAGAGGCTGAGATTGGGAGAAATGAGAAGAAGAGAGATCTTTTAGAAAAATTGGCTGATCAGTCCCAATCGTTCCTCTCTTGTTAGAAATAGATTAATGCAAGTATGCATTCAATTGATCAAAAGTGACAGTAAGGACATCTTTAATGTTACAAAAGTTTTCTATTTCAAATAAATGCTGTTAGTTTGAACTTTCAACAATGCTAACATGGAATATTTCTTAAGCACTAAATCAGCATATTAGAATGATTTCTGAACGATCATGTGACACTGAAGTCAAGTGCTCCTAAAAAGAAAAGTAAGCGTAGAGCCCTGATCATTACGTCTCAAACCCACTCACGTGTTATACCCACACCACAGTTGTGTTGACAGTTTCAGGAATGGTATAATTACTCCATGAGTCAGTTTTAATGACTTCGATCTACCAGATTGTTTGTGCACATCGTGGGCGTATTGTGGGTGATTTATTATGAAGAATTGTACAAATGGCAGCACATTCACATAGATTGGACACACCTATATTTAAAGGAGACTTTTGCATGTGGTAATTGTGTTTAAGTTAGGAGTGCTGCTCATTTGTGGTTCTTGCTAAATACCAGTGATTTTAGGTATGACCATTAAAGGAATAGTTCACCCAAAAATGAAAATTTTAAAAAACTTGCTCTCCCTAAGGCCATCCAAGATGTAGATAAGTTTGTTTCTTTATCAGAACAGATTTGGAGAAATTTAGCATTACATCACTTGCTCACCAGTGGAGCCTCCTCAGTGAATGGGTGCCGTCGGAGACATCACCACGATAATCCACAATTAATCCACATAACTCCAGTACATCAGTTAACATCTTGTGAAGTGAAAAGCTGCACGTTTGTATGAAACAAATGCATCATTAAGACTTTTAGCTGTAATAATAATGATAATGCTTCTTCCAGTGAAAACGTCCATCCACTGTTGTCCTCTCACATCAAAATCCACTGGGATGTTTGTTTACATCAGATTTGTTTTGTTTTGGACTGTTTTTGGACACTTGTGAATGGTGCTTTATCTGTTCAGATTACTTTCCTGTATCAGGAGATATGACTTTTTTTCACTGAAGAAAGCAATATTATGGATAGAAGACTTTGTATTTTAGTCGGAAGCAACAATTTGAAGTTAGGCCTTAATAGTGAATTTGTTTATTACAAACACACAGCTTTTTGCTTCACAAGAGGTTAATTGATGTACTGGAGTCATTTAGAATACTGTGATGATTTTATCAGTTGTTTGAACTGTCATTCTGACGGCACCCATTCATTGCAGAGGATCCACTGGTGAGCAAGTGATGGAGTGCTGAATTTCTAAAAATCTTTTCTGATGAAGAAACTCATCATCATCTTGGATGGCCTGAAGGTTTTCAGCAAATTTTTTTTATTTTTGGGTGAACTAGGCTATTCATTTAAATATGACAGCATAACATATGCATGTATTAGCGCAGTGTTTCCCAACCTTTTTTTAGTCGCGGCACCCTTTGGAAATTTTAACAAACTTGTGGCACCCTACAAAATTAATTTTGTCACAATATTTGAATTTCTAACTTCGATATGATCATTTGAAAAGTATAGATATTCGGTACAACAGGGAAGAACTGCAGAATATAATGTCATACAGATATTTTTAATATTATTTAAAAAATTTAGTATTAGTATAAATTTAGCAGTAGCACGAGATAGCTTGATTTCAAACTTTGAATTGAATAAAAAATGACAAGTAAGCAGTCAGTAATAAATTAAGAACAAATAAAGAAATTAATAATGATAGCACAAATAAAAAATTGGGTGCCGCGGCACCCCGGTTGGGAAACACCGTATTAGCGTATAGCCTATTTATTTTTTGAGTGTATTTTATCAGATTTGAAATACATATATTTTTTTTACATCTACACTAGACTACATTAATACACTAGAGTGGACATTTCTGTGTTTGCAAAAAATCTTGCATGTTTTTATTCACAACTTTTTGTAAATCAGAACCTATGAACATTAATTATCTTTCCACACAGAAGTCATTGAATGGATTACTTGACCATTTTCTCTTGAGTTGAGATCAGCCTTTTGATTGAATAAAAGAGCACAGAAACGGCATTAGATTATTACAGAACTCGATTTATTAGTCTGTCTTTGCAGTTCTATTGAAAATTTCAGTACATGCACTCTATTACAGTCTGAACATTCTAAGCAGGTTATTTGTAATCTTTGTGATACGTGTACTGTATACATTCCAAGAAATTAACTCATGGGTTTCCTGTTATAGAATGATGACAGTCTATTTACATTGTTTAAAAAAGGATTCCTTATAATCTGATAAAATCTTGCAGGCTGACATCAGTGTGCACCGTTGATCTGTGGTAAATTGAGTTATTGAAGACTGTGTCTAATGTCTAATACTCCTGCATTCCTCTCTGTCTGATGTAAGATCCTTAAGGCGCTTGGACAGACTCCATTGGCTGCATCTTGACATCAACATTTCATGATCAGTTTTCTAATGCCAGTTGATGATGCTGAATCAAGTTTTTTTTTTGAATATAATGGATTCATTTCTGGAGGAATCTATGTTGTTGTTTTTTTTTCCTCTTATGATTTCATGGTCCTAGATTTTGGCACTTTTGCACTATATTAATTCTCCCAGGAGTCAGATTTAAAGTTCAGAATGATTCATGTTTAGTAATCCAGATGTTTTAACACAAACTGAACTATATGGGGTCTGCAATGACCCACATGTTCCACCTGGTTTCCATAGCTATGGTATGATGTGTCAGATTGTCTGGTGTGTGACATGGTTGGTTGTGACTCTGACACATTATCTCGGACAATACTGCTGGTCAAGAACACAAAAGTTCATGTGTCTGCCTTTGCGAAAGATATGTGAAAGTCTATTTGATTTGTAATTTGTGCATTTTCGTTGCTTTTTCTAAGGGTGCATCATATTTTGGCTGAAAAAAAAGCTGATATATATTTTCATGTTGTTAACAAATACCAATACATTTCTGAAAATAATGTTCATGTAAATTAATTATACATATATGTATGTGCGCACAAAAATATTTTTATATATTTTTTGTTTAAATTAAAAAATTTATATATGCACAAATATATTTTACTTATATTTAACAATTTAAAAAATAATGTAGAAAAATATAAATCAATACAACTGCAACTTTAAAAAGTCATTTTATATACAAAAAAATCTATCGAGGCATATAATGCATATTAAATACTTCTGTATAGTTGATTTATATCTGATTTGAATTTGTTAATAATTTATACATTTTGCAGCATCGACACTGTTACTGAATTAATTTGAATCCACATTGAACTGACTCAAGCTGAATAACGACACTACTGTCTTCAGTATAGCTGCTTTACAGCAGAATTTGCCTTATGTTTAATAACTTTGCATCATTAATTCTGTTATTTTCCTGTTGAATACTGTGAAGCTACTTTGAAACAATCTGTATTGTATAAAGTGCTATATAAATAAAGGTGACTTGAATATTAGGGCTAAGTGATATATTAGTATCTTTATTTTTAATTAAAAAAAAAGCTTAGTTAAATTAGTATAGAATTTTATTCATCTTATTTATTTTATTAAATTAGTATTTTATCTTATTTAGCATTTATCACCCAGGAAACGAAAATGATTTTTTTACTGCTCATTGTATCAAAAAAAAAAAACTAAATCGGTCCAATAAAAAATGTTGTATAACAAATATACATGATTTAGTAGAGAGCATTTGAGTTCCCACTTTCTTTCTGCATGTATAATTTTGTGAGGGTCCGATGTTGTTTGTCTTTTACACTTTGCCTTTGGAATCCTGTTGCATCACATCACATTGATTGATACGATATGATCTGATCCCCCACACTCGAGGGTGGGCACACAAGCCCAAAAATCACTCTAAGCTACTGTACATACAAACACTGTAATTCCGTGTCTGCGCTGCCCTCATCTGACCAAGAGATAACGGCTACAAGAAAGGACATGCATATTGTTGACATAAATATGGTTTGAAAGGACAGGGCCGCGAGCTTGGGGCCATGTCAGTCAAAACAGGAAGGAAAGAGAGCGAGAGGGCAATCTGAACCGACTGAACCAAGGCAAGACATGGGGGTCAGCAGTGAGGAGAGGGGGAATGCGATCAGTGCTTAAGTTTGTGTGTGTGCGCGCGCCCGTGTCTGGAAGGGGGAGGGGTGGGAGCCCTGTCTCTGAGCTCCACAGCTTTAGCCCCTCCCACTGGTGTGTGTTCCAGACAGGAGGTTATGTAAAGGGGAATAGAATCCTTGCGCTGTCTATCTCTCACACACACATACACACACCGGTGGGCAGTTTCTTAGATTTCCGTGGCACAGACACACGGCAGTCGAGTCTTTTCAGCGCTGCTCGGCCACATATGAAGGGCAGTATGTCTGAGCAGGTGGGTGGGACCTCGCATGCCGTCCCTCTGTACCCTTTTCTCTTTCTTCCTGTCGTCGCATTTTCTGTCTGTCTTCTCGTTCTTGGCTGTTCATTCACTTTCTCTGTTTCATTGCATTTTAGCCTCTTGTGTCATAGAATAGAAAGAGCAGAGATCCTAAATCGGTTGCGTTAATAGGGATTGATGATGTGTGTGTGTGCGCATGTTTCTGCGTGTGTAAGAACATGCCAGATTCGTCTGGACTGCAAGCGCTGCGTCAAGCACACACATGCAACATCTCACATGTGGCCTTGAATGTGCATTTACATGCAGATTGCATGTGAGAAAGTGAACGTGTGTATGTTATTGCAGGTTAATACGGTCTGACGGTATGCTGGTCCAGCACATTTATCAAATATCATTTAGTCTCATGCAGGGTGTAAGCATCATTTGTAGCTGCACTTTAGCATTTGATCTGCTATACATTGGGCCGGTGAGGGACAGTAATTAGGCTGCGGCGTCTTGTTAATTGTTCGTTGCACTGAAAATAGTCCTGGCAGGCACTTATATGATAGTAATTAAGCGATGACTTTTAAGTGCACACTGCAAATGTGCTGTGTTTTAAATTTTGGTATTTTTTTGTAATGCATTCATTTGTTGCAATGTTTATCACTGTGCTTGTGGTTCTTCTGTGTGGTATTATTTTAGCCTTCACATATTAATTGCCTTTTAATGCATATCTTTATGGCTAAAAAGTTTTTTAAGCTTGAAGGAAAAAAGTAAATTAAAGGCCTTTAAAGCTACTTAGCAGAGGATTTTCTGTGAGTGGCGTTGGTTGGGCTCTGACAGTGGTGCATGAACGTGTAGGCAGACATGTCTGTATCTGTTTCTGTTTTAATCAGAAGCAGCATTATTGTGAAGGCCTTTGCTGCAGTTGCCACCGTTTTATTCTGTTTGAAGTGTGCAAGATGTGTTTTACTTCAGAAGGCCTTTTTGTTGTGCAGTGAAAGTGAATGAAATACGTTTATTGCATTGTCATTACACTGTACCATCCCATGAAGGTGGGTGATATTACAAAAAAGAAAAGAAATCCTCGTTTTTTTGAGCCTTTTGTTGATATTCAGTATGAACACTACCATTCAAAAGTTTGTGGTTGGAAAGATTGTTTTTAAATGTTTTTTTGAATCTCTTATGCTCATTCAATTAAAAAAAGGACAGAAATATTATAATTTAAAATGTTTTCTGTTGTAATATATTTTAAAATGTAATTTATTCTAGTGATGATCCTTCAGAAATTATTCCAATATGCTGATTTGGTGCTCAAGAAACATCACTTACTATTATCAATGTTGAAAACAGTTGTGCTGCTTAATATTTGTGGAAATAAGAATTCTTTGATGAATAGAAAGTTCAAAAGAATAGAATGTATTTCAAAAAGAAATCTTTGTAACATTATAAATCTCTTTACTGTCACTTTTAATAGATGTAATGCATATTTGCTGAATAAAGTATTCATTTATTTTCAAAATCCTACTGACCTGAAGGTTTTGAACGGTATTGAATCTTCCTACTCGGAGAAACCATCATTTCAATTAAGTAATAAATAAAAAGTAATATTTACCTATGTATTTTTTTACTAAAACATTTGATTCATGAAAAATGTTGTTCACTCATGTCATCTTTTTGAGTGATGCCAAGATTGAATCTTTAAATCTGAATTTTAAATTGATTAATTTAAATTGACTGACAAGTTGGGCTGACTAAAACATCTTTAACAGTTGCGTACTTGTAAGAAAAGTAAAGGGCAAAATAAAAGCACATTAAAAATTCTTAATATTCATTGTTACTTAATTGTATATCGTCAGCTAAATTATTGTGTATATTTGATATTGCCCACATTTACACTTCATAATACCTTTGTTTGTTTTTTTCATAATACCTTAATTTTTCTTGCTTAAGATGGCAAGTTATGACTAAAATATTCACATTAAAGTTATGTGCTGTTTATTGAGATTGTGTATTGTTTTAATAGTAATCTCAAACCATTACTGTTCTGTGTGTTTCAGGTTACAGACCATTTTAAGCCGTTTTGATGAAGTACTGAATTCGGGGAACATGGCTCTAAGCCTGAGTCAAGGTAAGTTAACTTTACCATGTTTGTTAACTCGCTAAATCCTGTTTGCAACACTTGTCTCCATTGGCTTCAGTTACAATGCTAATATTAGTCTTTGTCAGTGTCTTTGACCACAGTACTGAACATAAGCCTTTCACATCTGAGCCCCAGCTTTAAGCACAATGCTACTTTCATCTAAATGCTAATCCTCATGTTTTTCATTACCATTACTAGAGGGTTAACATCAACATAAAGTGACTGGCTACATCTAAATGCTGGATTTCTCGGTGTCCCTTCGGTCTCCAGTGAGTTAGATTTAACGTGAGTGTTGGTATCTAAATAAGGGAGATGGTGTCAGACTTTCACGGCCTTGGAAATCTCCATGATGTGTTTGGCATATGTCATATGATGGAAGAGCTGGATCTCCAGGTGGATCGCACTGTGCTGCTCTTTTCATGCCGCTCACATTTGGTTGTGGTGTAGAGTTGTTCTTATATAGTTATGTGTTTTACAGTGACTTAACAAGCTATACCATGGTTGCAGCTGTTGACTTTATGGGGATAAACATGCGTTTATACTGGTGTTTATGGGTTCAGCATTATCTTTGACTTGAGTGGAGGGACATGGAGGATTTCAGATTAGTGAACAATCAAATTGCTCCGTATTTGTACCATATCGTAGAGGCTTTTTTTGGGGGGGGGGGGGGTTAAATATAACCAATTTTTATATTTAGATTGTTTGCTATAGTTTTTTAATATAAATTTTAATCTGAATTATTTAACAGTGAAAAATCATTCAAAATAATTTAAGTTAAAGGCAAATCTTAAAAGTATCTATTTTTCATACTGTTCATTATAATATGATGCCTACATTTGCTGGTAACCTTTACAGGATGAATAATAGTTTTTAAGTGTTAATCTTTAATTTATTTAAAAGTAATATTAATAGAAAAATATTAAAATATTTGAAAAATATTAATAATATTTTTTGACATATAAAAAAGATATTTATTGTTTGTTTATCAGTTAAACAGCATTAAATTAATTTTATAATTGAAGTAATTTAATAATTAACAATAAAAGTAATTGATAATAATTTAATGTCATAATATCGATTTTTACATACGGTTGCTCCAACCTTGAATATTGAGTACATGCTTAGTTAACAGTATAATTGAGTATATGCCGTGTTTAATTCTTTAACCAACTTTTCCAGTCACCTCTTCCTTTGTCTCTGCTTGTTAGGTCTTACCTGAATTATTTATTATAGTGCTTCATGTTTTGAAACATTTACTTATGTTGCTTGACCTTTGACATATGTGAGTTTGGGGTGTTATTTATAACTGTGGAGGACCTAATGACCCTTGAGTTTGTAAGTATCTCTTGAAGTAGTAACTAGCTAGCGACTACTTCTTTGTTAATAGAACTCCAAACCAGATTTAAGACTTCTCCTCTGCTGCTATAGGCCATTAAATGGATAAAAACAGATTCCTATTGGTCTTCGAGACCATGCACATTTCAACAATGTCTCCTCAAAAGTATTGGTGAACTTCCAAAAGTGTTAAACTGATTGTTTCACTTGGCTATGTGCCTTGAGATGCATCTGGCCAGAATTCAGTATAAGAACAGGAAGGGGGTCGATTGCCATGCAGCCAACTTCCTCACTAGTCATTTTTAATTTTGGCAGAAGACAAAGTAGACGACATTCAAAGAGTTTTTTTCCTACCCTTTGGCCTTGCCAATGGAGCCGCTGTGAGGCGAGGGTTATAGAGAGGGAGCTGAGAGCTGTGCCTGTCACAGCATTACTCTGACACAGCGTGACAGAGAGAGAGAGAAGGACGAAAGAAGGAGAGAGTGAAAGTGCTGCCTCTTCTCAGAAGCGTTAAAGCCATGTCTGTGGGTGACGATGGAGATGGTGAGTGCGTTTATATATTAAATAGCATAGAAATTACTGTAAGCTGTTGTGGTGTTTGTGTATATGATGTGTAGAGATGTGTTTACAAATCTTTTCGAAAAAATGAAGACAACACAGAGTTATTGTCCGGAAAATACTCTCTTCTAGTGATGATCTGCATCTCTTTCAATTCATAATGTGCATTTCTGTTAAAATGAGTATACCTACTTGTCCTTAAAGTCCAAACAATGGAGTTTAATCAGAATATATTGCATTATACAGTGGGGAAAATATTTATTTGATCCCCTGCTGATTTTGTAAGTTTGCCCACTTACAAAGAAATGAAGGGTCTGTAATTTTTATGGTAGGTTTATTTTAACGTATAGAGACAGAATACCAACCAAAAAATCCAGAAAAAACGCATTATATAAAGGTTAGAAATTGATTTGCATTTCTGTGAGTGAAATAAGTATTTGATCCCCAAGTAAAACATGACTTAGTATTTGGTGCAGAATCCCTTGTTGGCAAGCACAGAGGTAAGACGTTTCTTGTAGTTGGTCACCAGGTTTGCACACATCTCAGGAGGGATTTTGATCCACTCCTCTTTACAGATCCTCTCTAAATCCTTAAGGTTTCTTGGCTGTCGTTTGGCAACTCGAAGTTTCAGCTCCCTCCACAGATTTTCTATAGGATTGAGGTCTGGAGACTGGCTAGGCCACTCCATGACCTCAATGTGCTTCTTCTTGAGCCACTCATTTGTTGCCTTGGCGGTATGTTTCGGGTCATTGTCATGCTGGAAGACCCATCCATGACCCATCTTCAGTGTTCTGGCTGAGGGAAGGAGGTTCTCGTCCAAGATTTTACAGTACATGGCCCCGTCCATTTGCCCCTCAATGCGGTGTATTCGTCCTTTTAACCTTAGCAGAAAAACAGCCCTAAAGCATAATTTTTCCACCTCTGTGCTTGACTGTAGGGATGGTGTTCTTGGGGTCATAGTCAGCATTTCTCTCCCTCCAAACACGGCGAGTCGAGTTAACGCCAAAGAGCTCAATTTTGGTCTCATCTGACCACAGCACTTTCTCCCAAGCCTTCTCTGAATCATTTAGATGTTCATTGGCAAACTTTAAGGCAGGACTAAACTGTGTTCCACATGGACACATAACCAATCTGTGGGAGCCAGAATTCTTGCTTATTTCACTCACTGAAATGCAAATAAATTTCTAACCTTTATATAATGTGTTTTTTCTGGATTTTTTGGTTGGTATTCTGTCTCTATCCATTAAAATAAACTTACCATAAAAATTACAGACCCTTCATTTCTTTGTAAGTGGGCAAACTTACAAAATCAGCAGGGGATCAAATAAATATTTTCCCCACTAAATCTCTTTGTGATATACTAGTTATATTAGTTTCTGCGTCAGTGTGTTTTGTCCCTTGGGAGTTCAAAGTGTGACCCGGTTTCTAGGGCATTTCGTTGCCGCGGCTGCCCATTATTAGACTTTTCAGTTCTTGTCCTGGAAATTTAAGTACTCTATGAGATGCTGTGTGTCCGTTGACTATAAATTGAGCGTTTTGAGTACTTACGTTCGAGGTACGTTTTTGCGGGCTTATTGCACAGGCTGCTCTTTAGCTGTTTGTGTTTCTGGGTAAATGGCTTTGCTTCCTTTTCTCCGTAATCCTGATAACCAGATTAAATAGCCAGTTAGGTTACAGATTGACCAGTGAGGACTTAGAAATCAACACTCAATCACCCACCCACCAATAAGCAATATAATGTTAATGGCAGTTAGACTGACAGTTTGTGTTTCCAGGTCAGTTTTGAGTGAGAAATGCATCACATTAGGGGTGGGCGATATAGCCTCAAAATTATATCACGATATTTCAAGAATATTTGCGATAACGATATTTATGACGATATATAAAAAAAAAAACATGGAAAAACGTTTTATTGGTGATTGCAGATGGCAGGCAGCAGCATTTATTAGTGCAAACAAAATGAAGGGCAATTTCCATCCTTTGTGGCGCGTTAAGGCCAAAAGTACTTCGGCCATCCGCATTACGTCATTTACGTACATACAGTGCGCGTACAACAGCGCATGCGCGAGGTGAATGTTGAGACAAGAGTAGATGGTACTGCGCATTTGTGTCGATCTCGTCCGTCCGCACTCATCCACGGTTGAGTATACTTTGAAAGTAGTGCGGACGCGGCTGTGCGCGAGACGGAACGGAACGCGGAAAGTGAAGTATACCCGGGCCTTTACGGCTCCGACGCGGCCACTCTAGTCAATGCTTGTGTTTACACCAGGGGAGCTGCGGCACGTTTCAGAAGCAGCTCTCCGCGCAGCTTCGCTAAAGATATGCACCTCGCCTATTTTTGATGGTAAGAGTGTGCGCTCGAATATGCTCTAGAACTGCTCTCGCAATACTTTGATGTCATACACCGATCAGTCTGCGCAGCGCTGCTTCAAGTCGAACACACCTATTGGGTTTGTGGTGTTGTTGTTGTGCGTGCTAGGGAACATATATCCGCCATACGTCATCGCGTCGCTATATCATTGATAAAAATTAATACCGATATTTTTGTGGACGGTATGATATGGCACACCCCTACATCACATACTAGTGTGCAGTCAAAAGTAAAAAAATTTATTTGCTGTTAAATATTCTTCACAACTGGCAATATGTGGGTGGGTAATGTGTCATTACATTGATAACTTTGTCACGATACAATATTAAATTTTTTTATTAAGAATTTATATATTGCAATCTTTTCCTTCCTTGAATGGTGCATTGTAAAATTGAACGTTCAATTTTTAGTTTATATAGCATTCAATTTTTTTCACATCAGTGATTTCCCACAGACTTGATTGCATGATGGGCAGTCTTTTCCCCCAAATACTCATAAGTATCGAAACTGTTTTAGAGGGTAAAATATTGCTTTGAAAAAAAAAAGCTTATTCTTAAAAAAAATATTTCCCCCATTCCTACTAATAATAATGTAATATTATTAATAAATTATATTATTACTAAAAATATATAAATATGAAAAATATAAATGTTTATTTTCTGATTTCAGCTGGCCATTTTGGGCAGACCAAAATTTAAATCTTTGTAAATTAATTTAGCCTTTAATAATAATAATTTTTGGTGGACCAAAATTCAAACCAATGTGATTCAGCCATATTATTAAAATTTATTATTTAAAAAAATGTATATATGTGTGTGTGTGTGTGTATATATATATATATATAAAAGAGTTTTCATTATTTTTCTTTCAGCTAACCATTGTTGGCAGACTAAAATTCAAACCAATGTGATTCAGCCATATTATTATCATTTATTATAAATAAAAATAATTTAAAAAATCTAATTTTTTTTTTCAGCAGACCATTTTTGGCAGACTAAAATTCAAACCAATGTGATTCAGTCTTTTTTTTTTTTTAATCTCTCAAATCCATTGATGCTGGCTGCTCTTGTTGTCATGGCAACAGCCTTTGAGAGCGGCCAGCTCTCTCTCTCTCTCTCTCTTTCTCTCTCTCTCTCTTTGTCTTGCTCCATCCTTGCCTTTTCTCCCTTTTTCCCCTTTTTCCCTTTAGCTTGTCCCCACTTTTTCTCGCTCTAGCTTCCTGTTGCTGTTTTGTTCCTTTTGGCCTGCCTAATTCTCGCTTGATCTTTCTCTCCAGGGTCGTCATTGGCCCGTCCTTGGTGGATTGTTGTTGACGCCCTCCCGTCTGAACAAAGGGCGGGTTATGCTACAATGCTAATAATGCTAAACACAGAGCCCTTTCAGCTCCGCTAGTGGGGTCAGCATCCATAATGTGTCAGTGCAGTCAGCCCTTGGCTTAGTAATGGGGTCACAGTGTGATTGCCCACACACACACACACACTTTCTGAGCTGTAGGAGTGTGGCCTTTGTTCTCATCTGTATTTACACATTTTATTCAACCATGTGTGTGTTTGACCATGAATTTGCTTTTAAACTACAATGATCATGCAGCACCATGATGCTAATTAGCTTAGCTTGAGCTCCAGACAAAACAAGCCTCATTGAGATGCGAGAAGCATCCTCAAATCTCAAAGCTCACTGGCTGGTCAAAGATGATGTCATCACTCTCCTGATTGGCTCTTCGGGTGCTGGGATGGATAGGGGGGCGGTGAGGAGCAAAGTGCGAGGGAGGGAGTGATGGAGGAGGAGATGAGGGGGGATGGAGCGAGAGCGTAATTGAGAGGGGAGATGCCGACCAGCTTTTGGGTGGTGGTTTCTGCAAACCTTGTTACGTGCCTTGCTGATCCGTCTCGGGATATTTCGCCACCGTGAGAACCGCTGTCATGTGAGTGGCAGCTTGGGCGTTGCCTCGGATACGAGAGAGAGCCACGCCCGCCTTCAGGCATGAGGCGCCTCATCTGCAAACGCATCTGTGACTGTGAGTGTCTTCTCGAGGTGTTTGAAATGTTGCTGGCGTTTCAAATGACCGTTGACATCTGAACCAGTGCAGAAATAGGGTGTGGCCCAGGTGCCGTGGAGATTTGGGGTGTTTTTAAAAGCCGGTGGATGAAACGAGAGACTGTGTGTGTTCTTCTAGCCTTGCTCTTTACTGGATGCGCCCAATCTGTTCTTGTGTGTGGGTGGCTTTGTGGAGTCTTTGAGTTGTGCAGGCATTGCTCTTTGTGTGTGAATGTGTTCGAGTGATTAATGTTGCCAATGCTTCCTGTTTTTGCTGTTCAGGCCTCTATTAGGTCCTGGTTCTGGGCTGTTCATTGATTAGGCCTACTTAAGATGATATTGTGGTTGGGAGGAAATCAGACCTGTACTTGCCTTGGGTTTCAGTGGTAATGGATTTGTTCATTGATATATTCTGATTATTATCGAACAAGATACATTTGAATGAGAATATGAGACTGTTGGTACAAAAATAAATTGTTTTTACGTATCATCATTGTGCATTACATCTATTTTGGAACAGAAATTGAGGCACTTGATCTCAGCTGGTCTATTGATATTTTGCCTTTATGTTCAGACTTTGATATCCTATTGATTCATGTTCTCATTGCTTTTCTCAGATCGTAGTTTTGACGATGATGACTCTGTGGATGGAAGCAGGCCGTCATCGGCTCAGGCTGCGTTTAAAGTGCCCAAAGTACCCAAGAAACCTGGAGACTCTGCCAGCAGTTCCAGGCGACCCAGTGCCACTGGAGCTGCCAAGACAGGTGAGACGAGTGTGACATTGCATTTACATATCCTAGGGTGCAGAACAGTTTAGCCTTGATGCAGTTTAAAATAAACGTGCTGTGCATTTTAAAGTTCAAATTGACTGATGACAGACTCAATTATTCTGTGCTGTCAGGAAGATGTTATAAGATTATCAGTTTGGTGTTATGTCTAAAAATATTTTTGTTTAAAAATTTTATAGAATGCTAACTTTATATGTGTGGAAATGAAATGGATGGAAATGAATTAGAAAAAAATTATTTATATTAAATAACCATTTGGTGAAGCCTATTTTTAGACAATCCAGTGGGGGAAAAAAAACACTTCACACATGAAAGGTACTTTGTACTTTGAAAGGTATCTCGTTTGATTTTCTCTTTTAATTTGGAACTTGATGGACACAAACTGGAGTATTACACTTAACAAATTATTCAGTCTGGCATCAGTGCACAAACAGCTTCACATTATGTAACAATGAGAACAAAGTACTAATATTATAAAATGGATTGTTCCAGTTTTAAATTTTAGTTGATGAACCGCATTCAGAGCTGTTGTAAAATATTAGGTATACAGACACCTCATCAGTTGTGACATGCTTGGTAGCCATACATTTATTTAGTTTTGCATTATGGTTAATAACTTAATAGCCAGTTTTTCAATGTCTTGACTTGCTTGGGACACATTCTGCTGTATATGTTTTCATTACGCTGCATTACTGTTTGTGTTTTTGCATTACGTTTATATACGAAATATCTACTACAATATAGAGAAATATCTCTACCGGTTGTAAAGTCATAAAAAAAATCTCTCTTATTGTATGAGATGTATACTGTCTAACCACCCATTCCTAAAGGCTTAAAGGAAAAGCTGCCACTGAGATCAAAACCTCTTATGGGCATTTAATGATTGACCAGTAAAGAAGGTGTCTTAAAGAAAGAAAGTGGGCAAAGTGTTTTGTTTGCTTGTTATTTCAATGCAATTCATGTAATTTGTGTAGCTGTATGCATTGATGCTTTTACAGAACACAAAGTTTGCACAAATCCCTTTTTTTGTTAAAAATGTATCAGCAATTCAGCAATGAATTGACTTTTTGCTGAGGCTCATTACCAAGCTTTCAATTCCACCCAAATGCTTTGATATGGGGTTTCCTGAAGGCTGACTGACAGCTCACTGATGCTGATGTGTTTATCAGACTCTTCGGGTCTCCCCCCTGTGTGGCAGATCTTACAGGCCAAACCCCCTCTGGGCTTCATGATTGATCATTCAATTGCAACTGGACAGGAAGACAGACAGGAAGTCCATTAGGACTGAGAGCTGTTAATGTGTAGGATAAGTTTCTTCCCTCATATAAAACATTAACAGCCTCTGTAATTTCACTGCATTCGGTATACAGATAAAAAACACACACACACACACACATATATATATATATATATATATATATTAGTGCTGGGCAGCGATTTAAAATTTTTAATCGTGATTAATCGCATTATGCACAAAATTCAGTAATGAATTCAAAAGTAGTGTATTGTCTAGTAGCCAGTAATAGACCCATGGTTTGTCTGTATGTGTATTCAGAGCCAGTGAGCAACGGACTTTCATAATAATAAAAAACTGCGTTAACGCGCAATAAAATTATTGTCGGCGTTAATCAATTAATGCGTTAACGCAATAATAACGCCTTAACTTGCCCAGCCCTAATATATATATATATATATATATATACAGCGCATTCAGAAAGTATTCAGACCCCCTTCACTTTTTTTAGTTTTGCCATGTTGCAGCCTGATACTACAATTGTTTAAATTCTTTTTTTTCTCATTAATCTACATTCCGTACCTCATAATGATAAAGTGAAAACAGAATTTTAGAAATGTCTCTAAATTTATTAAAAAGAAAAAACTGAAACAACACTTGAAATTTAGCTCAGGTGCCTACCATTTCTCTTGATCATTGCTGAGATGTTTCTACACCTTGATTGGAGTCTGCTTGTGGTAAATTAAATTGATTGGACATGATTTGGAAAGGCACACACCTCTCTATAAAAGGCCTTACAGCTGACAATGCATATCAGAGTGAAAACCAATCCATGAGGTCAAAGGAACTGCCTGCAGAGCTCAGAGACAGGATTGTATCGAGGCACAGATCTGGGGAAGGCTACAAAAAATTTCTGCTGCACTGAAGGTTCCCCAGAGCACAGTGGCTTTCATAATTCTCAAATGGAAGAAGTTTGGCACAACCAGGACTCTTCCAAGAGCTGGTCACCCAGCCAAACTGAGCAATTGATGGAGAAGGGCCTTGTCTAGACCGGTGACCAAGAACCTGATGGTCACTCTAGTTGAGCTCTATCATCATATACTGCAACACTCCACCGATCTGGGCTTTATGGCGGTGTGGCCAAACTCAATTCTCTCCTCAGTGAAGACACATGAAAACACACTTGGAATTTGCAAAACAGCACCTAAAGGACCCTCTGACTGTGAGAAACAAGAAAATCAGGTCTGACGAACCGCAATTCTAAGCATCATGTTTGAAGGAAACCAGCTCTGCTCATCACCTGCAGATTACCATCCCAAAAGTAAAGTGTGCTGGTAGCAGCCTCATGCTGTGGGGGTGTTTTTCAGCAGCAGGGACTGGGAGACTGGTCAGGGTTGAGAGAAAGCTGAATGGAGCAAAGTACAGAGATATCCTCAGTGAAAACCTGTTCCACAGTGCTCAGGACCTCAGACTGGGCCGAAGGTTCACCTTCCAACATGACAATGACCCTAAGCACACAGCCAAGGCAACACGGGAGTGGCTTAGGGACAACTCTGTGAAAGTCCTAGAGTGGCCCAGCCAGAGCCCTGATTTGAACCCTATCAAACATCTCTGGAGAGACCTGAAAATGGCTGTCCACCGACGGTCCCCATCCAACCTGACCGAGCTTGAGAGGATTTGCAAAGAAGAATGGCAGAAAATCCCCCAATCCAGGTGTGCAAAGCTTGTTGCTACATACCCAAAAAGACTCGAGGCTGTAATTGCTGCCAAAGGTGCTTCAACTAATTACTGAGTATACTTATGTAAATGTGATATTTCAGTTTTTTTCTTTTTAATAAATTTACAGACATTTCTAAAATTCTGTTTTCACTTTGTCATTATGAAACACAGAGTGTAGATTAATGAGAAAAAAAATAATTTAAACAATTATAGTATCAGGCTGCAACATAACAAAATTGAAAAAAGTGAAGGGGGTCTGAATATTTTCTGAATGCACTGCATGTATGAAACTCCCTCCCCCCACAGAGAACACTCTCCTGTTTGATTAGCAATACAACAGTTGCCATAGGAACACCTCATTGTGCTCAGTTTCGATGGTAATGGCTGCAACTGTCAGTTAGTTGTCTCCTAGTGTGACTGAGATTAAAAATGTATCAAACAGTGACAGATTCATGTGCCCTTCATAAACCTCATAGCTGTCTCAAGTTTTTGTGTTTTAATGGAAGTCACTCATGTGTTTTGCAGGTGTCTCTAAGGAGGGTGCAGGAGCTATTGATGAGGAGGATTTTATCAAAGCATTCACAGACGTCCCCACGGTTCAGGTGAGACACTTGCATGTAAATGAGGGAGGTGTTACTTAATTCCCTCAGAACCTAGTTACAATCCACCTGTGGTTTTCATAACATTCACGTTTGATCAAAGGCTTGGAATTGTTTGATCTAAAACTGGTGTCTCTGTGCGTCTCTCTCATTACATAGATCTACTCCACACGAGACCTGGAGGATAATCTGAACAAGATTCGCGAAGTTCTGTCTGACGATAAACATGACTGGGACCATAGAACAAACGCGGTGAGTACAACATAGAGTACACGATTTAAACACTCATGCAGGTAATTTTGTCCAGTTAAGCTGGTTGATATGGGGGTCGCCTTGGACTTACACAGATTTGTGTGTAAAGATTTGAACACATTTGCAGTTACTAATGCCACATTTAAAAAAAAAAAGTGCTTTTTGTAGTCATCCATTATTAATTGTTTAATTGACCTTTTGCAAAGACCCACCTCCCTTCGTTACTGTTGTTATGTCCGACAAGCCATGCCGCTCATGTTCTCATGCAGTAAAAAAATACATCGTGGCCCAAAGAGAAAACTGAAAACACACCGACAGTCAAGACACAGCAGGTTATTTTTGGTATGAAACAAAGTCTCCGCTTTCAAATTGTCCATTTTTTTTAAAAATTCAAACAATAAATACTGTTCTCTTTCAAACAATCGCTCGGTATCTCACTATGGGAATGCCCCCAGGCGTGATAGACTATGGAAGCACCAGTTGCACCACGTCTGTCCAAAGGATGGACCAATCACAGCTCATGACAAGGAGCCCACCACTTCTCCCTATATATACAGCTGTGATCCCCAAAACGGCATTCTTGTTCTCTTCTCCGTGAAGACTTTCCTTCAGGACCTAGGCTGCGCTGCTTTCAGTTCGTAGACGTACCGTCAAGGTTGATATTGCCGAACGCAGTGTAGTCAAAGAGAAAAACAAAAAAGAGAAAATCTGTTGCGGATTTTCTGCTCGTTACTGAGATTCTTTGCTTTGCTGTTTATTAGCGATGTTTCCTATCATAACTAATGTGTAAAGGCGAGCTAAGTTTAGGGGATATTTAACTCACCATGTTGGTGTCCAAGGTCGCGGTGGAGAAAGGCAATGATGCCCCTTTGCGCTCATATCTGGCAGCATGTGGATTCATGATCTCGGGCAGGGATTAGCATCTGATGTGTATCGCAAGCATGGGTGTCAAGCATGCCCAGGCTGCGCTGGCGGATGCTGAAAGTTGCTCGCACTGTCCTGTAATGCCGGCCAGGATTCTAGAGAGAAGACTTTGAGTGGCGGCATTTTCCAAAGACGATCCGGTTCTCTCTGCTGTCCCTCCTTCGGCAAATGGGGCCCAACCCTCTCCCCTGCGTGATCTTTCTTCGTGGGGGGATATTATAGATTCGGAGTCCCCTGAGTTTGCACCGCTTTTCGACCAGCAGTTACTGGCGGATGGCGATGAGGTCAAGGGAGATGAGGAGGAAGATGAGGAGATGCTAGCTCGCCGCCTCCGAGATGAGCCAGATGATGAGGAGGATGATGCTATCCTGTCTGCAGCCCCAGTGTCCAGGCCCGTGAGCGCGCAGAGTGGCGATGTGGCATCTACGGTGGTGGATTGCGACCTAGTCGAGGTCCGTAAATGTGCTGCAGCTAAGCTTGGCATCGCTCTGCCTGTAACTCCCAGGGATTGGGCTCTCTAACCCTTCCACAGTCGAGCCGTCAGTGGCTCACCACCTGCATCCGAGCAGGCGGACCACTCTCTCAACAGCCAGCCCCTTGAGGGGGGGGGGGTTACCCAGAACGACTACATTTTTGGATCTGGCCCGTGAGGCCAGGAGGTTATAAACACTATACAGAGCGCAAGAGCTCCATCAACGCGCATGATCTGAAATGGTGGGTCTTTGAGGACTGGTGTACTCGTAAAGGAGTTATTCCTTTTCAGTGCGCGGTGAGTGATGTTCTCTGCTTTTTGCAAAGCTTACTGAACAATGGGAGAGCTTTCTCTACTATTAAAGTTTACCTGGCTGCTATTTCCGCTTGCCATGCAGGTTTTGAAGGAGTTTAAGTGGGTCGCCACCCTCTTGTGTGCTGTTTTATGAATGGAGTGAGGCATTTGAGACCAGTGTCAAAGCAGCTGGTCCCGTCATGGGATTTGTCTATGGTCTTGAATGCTTTAACTCAGGCCCCGTTTGAACCTCTGAAGAGTGTTCATATTAAGCTCCTGTCTGTGAAAACGGTCTTACTACTTGCTTTAGCCTCAGTTAAACGAGTGGGGGAGTTACATGCCTTGTCGGTTCGTCAAGCATGTCTAAATTTTAGTCCGGATGACAGCAAAGGTACGCTGCGGCCAAACCCGGCTTTCGTTCCCAAAGTCAGTGATTCAGCTTATAACTGCTCTGCTTTGGAGTTTTTAACCCTCCTCCATTTTCTTCTTCAGAGGAGAGGAAATTGCACACTTTGTGTCCTGTACGAGCGTTATGCTATTATGTAAACAAGACACGATCCTTCAGAAAGGATGATCAGTTATTCGTTTCATGTAAGGGTAAGCCGATCTCCTCACAGCGCCTCTCCCACTGGATGGAGGCGATTGAACTAGCCTATACATCTATGGGTCTTCAATCCCCAGAGGGCCTTAGGGCCCATTCTACACAAGGTATTGCTACCTCATGGGTGTTGTTCAAGGGGATTTCAGTGGGAGAAGTTTGTGCGACGGCAAGTTGGACTTCCCCGCATTTATCAGATTTTACCGTCTTGATTTCACTGCACCTTCATTGGCTCATGCAGTTCTTAAAGTTGGCTCTTTGGAGAATTGAAAGGTTATCTTTCTTCCTTTTCGAGTCTGTTAGGCGGCTTATGAAAGCATGCGTTATGGGAGTTGGCTATATCATTCCCATAGTGAGATACCAAGCGATTGTTTGAAAGATAACATTAGGTTACTTGCGTAACCCCGGTTCTCTGAGAACAGAGCGAGGTATCTCACCAAGCTTCCCTACTCGCATAACACGGGAGAAGAGCATGCTTAGAATATATGCGCTTTAATTATTTGCATTTATTATAATGCGTAATGTACGTTAGCTCTGTTTATAATACATTATGAATTTTAACAGTTTTGTTCAGTAAAATCATATGATTGCTTGCTTTTGATACTCTATTTGAACTAATTATTGCCTATTTGCTATTATATATGTATTTTAAATCATTGTAAAGGCTGTTGTTTGCTTAAGTCTGTTTTTATTACTGCAAAAAATGAATTATAATAATCCGATTAATCGTTCGAATAAGCGACTGATTACTCGATTACCAAAATAATCGTTATTGACAGCCCTATTTATGGCATTTTGATTAAACATTACAAGGCTAAAATAAAAAAAAGAAATGCATGTATGGATACATTGTCCACAATAAGATCTATAATATCCATTCACAAAATAAATTTTTGTTTCATGCAGACTTAAGCACATCGACATTGTCTCCATATTCCACTTACAAGTGGCTGAATTTGTTTACTGAACAAATATTTGGTGAAATGTGCTGTTATTAGTGTTTCCCATGACAATGTCAATGTTCAAGAGGTGATGTCATTAGGATGCACCAGACCTAGAGTTTTCTTTGTGACCATACATATGGTTCGTTTACACTTCATGTTTTAAACCTCTATTCAACATTTTATGGAATTGTAAAGAGGAATTGTACAAGGAATTGTAAGTTTCCTGGCTTTTATCTAGTTTTGCTTATGCATTTCTATTCAGTTGTGACAAACCCTATTTGATGTGGTATCATTCCCCCCTCCCTTTCCCTCCACAGCTAAAGAAATTCCGATCTCTGCTGGTTGCCGGGGCAGCAGACTATGATTGTTTCTACCAGCACCTGCGTCTGTTGGATGGCGCTTTTAAGCTGTCGGCAAAAGACCTGCGTTCTCAGGTGGTGCGGGAGGCTTGCATCACGGTGGCGTGAGTGTCTAATGGCTTCTTTCCACTGAGCGGTACGGGTCAGTACAGTACAGTACGGTACGATTCGGGACTGAACACCCTGATCCAGCTTGTGTTTCCACCGCCAACAGTACCCTTACTTGATAGTCGTGGTGTATGCCGAAAAGTAGCGATCGACGATAAAGCGCGACAATAGCCGTTTCTCAATATGACATAAAGCACAACTCTAAAATGCAGTTTTAATGAACAATAACAGCCATTATGAAAGTATTAAGTACAAAGTATAAGAGACTTATATAAGAGGAAATAAAGACAAAAGCAAACAATTCAATCAGACGTATGCTACAAAGTCAGTGCTGTACTACGGTAAAGTTCAAAATAAATATATGAGTTAAACATAACTTTGTGCTCAGCCAAAACGATATGACCAGGAACAAATAATAGATTCATGAGACCGCGAATGCCTGTTAAATTTACCCAAAACGAATTGTATCTCATGTTTAATCACTACAGAGACATCAGAGCCAGCAGCAAATGTCGGAAGGACTAGCCGAGCTAAGGCTGCTCTAGGCGGATACATGAGCATTGAGCGCCCGGTGATCGCCTGGAGCTCCGAAATAGGCGGTATCTTTTTAAATAAACCGCAGATTTGAGTTTTAAACAACCACATTATCGCCTTTCATGACACAATAACAGTAATATTTTGAAAATTATGCGGGTTTTTGGGCAATGACGTTTCACAAGTCCACAAGAACAGAAAAGAACGCATATTGAGTAACGGCTATTGTCTGTGTGAAAATATTAAATTATAAAATACACGGTTATATTTTTTTGTGTTTGCGCACTCTGATGTAAATAAGCCCAACACTCATGGACAGCAGAGTGAAGGAGAAGCTTTATCCCCTTGTAGCACGCAAAAGTGACGATTCTAGTCAACCAATCAACGTTCTGCAGTGAGTTTGGCTCCACCCTTTTGGTACCCTTTGCTGTGCTAGGTCCCCCAACGGAAGGGTACCAAAAAAGTGGTATGGTACAGTTCGCTATTTTGGTACAATTCACAACTTCTGACAATGGAAACGGACATAATTGCGTACTGTACCATACTGTACTGAACCGTACTGCTCAGTGGAAACAAGCCATAATTGACTTCTTAAACAATGTGAACTCAAATTTCTGGCACTAGAACATTGTATGTACATGGTATGTAGATTATTAAGATCTGTTTTCCATCAGCCACTTAATTAAGTGCTGGAGACAAGGAGGTGACGAGCAAAGCAATTCCCATTTCCAGTCAAATTAATTTTGATTTGTGTGTTGCTTTTTGTTCATTATAAAAAACACCAATTTATGTTTGTGTCTTTGCAGGCATCTTTCCACACTATTAGGGAATAAGTTTGATCATGGAGCAGAGGCCATTGTTCCAGTGCTCTTCAATCTTATCCCTAACTGTGCCAAAGTGATGGCCACATCTGGCACAGCAGCCATACGCATCATCATACGGGTGAGAAACAGTGGTGTGCATTAGTTTGTTGTGTCTGACTGCACTGTGTGTCTGTGTGTTTGACCGTATGTTTTTGTATTTTCAGCACACTCATGTCCCACGTCTAATTCCTCTCATCACTAGTAACTGCACGTCAAAGTCTGTGTCCGTCCGGAGGTGAGACGTTAAAACTACTTCAACACACTACAGCTGGGTCAAAACAGAGGAAAAGTGATCCGATTTACTTTTTTTTTTTTTATTTACTTTTGTGTGTGTGTAAACCCTGACATTATTTTCCAGGATTCTTAGATGAATCGAAAGTTCAAAAGATATTTTTTTTTAATAGAAATCTTTCTAACAATGTAAGACTTAACTGCTACTTTTGATCTTTTCTTTAATACAAAAAGTAAAACCTGAATGAATTATCATCAATAATCAATCTTGAATAATCAAGAATAATTAAAACTTGAATCACCAGTGATTGTTTCTCACTACTTGCTTGAATTATGTTTATATGTACAAATATTACAGTACATAGTAATATAGGGCAACTTTTTTCCCCCCTGTTTTTAATGAACATTTTTCACCATACAGTGTAAATGATTTGAGGGATGATGACACAAAGAAATTTCCAAACCAGTGTTCGACTTAATTGAAATGGGCAGTTTGAAAGAACTGATTTTTGGAAATGAGTCCAACTTCTCAACTCTTTTGCTAATGAGGATCAAACCAGACAACCTATTAAAAATAAGTGTCTTAACATGCTCATACTTGCAAGTCAGGAATCTAGTCTGCCTGCACAGTCTTTAAGAGATGTAACTGGCTAAATAAAAAGCACATTATGATTTTGTTAAATATTATATTTCCAACAACTGCATATTACTGAATATTGCAGTTTTTATAAATATATTGTAAATATTGAATTTATCTCCCAGGGCTTCTGAGCCCTTCGCAAGTTTACAGACATAATGAGCACATTCATTACTGAATTCACTTTCTTCCTCTCTCTGTCTGTCAGGCGCTGTTATGATTTCTTGGATCTTCTGCTGCAGGAATGGCAGACTCACTCTCTGGAGAGGTACCACCACAGCGCAGGCTAAACTAGAGCTGCCTACTGGTGTTGAAAGGCCAAAACTGCTCTATGTAACTGCTCTTTCTCTTTCCTCCGTTTCTCAGGCATGTGGCTGTGTTGGTGGACAGTATTAAGAAGGGAATCAAAGATGCAGACTCAGAGGCTCGAGTGGAGGCCAGGAAGTGAGTGCTGTTCACAAATGACTTAATGTATTTTGCCGTTTCCTGTTGTGTTTCATCTCCTATGTTGCTCTCTCTCAGGACATACTGGGGGTTGCGGGCTCATTTCCCCGGGGAGGCAGATTCTCTCTATAACTCATTAGAATCGTCCTATCAGAAGACACTTCAGTCGTGTCTACAGAGCTCGGGCAGCGTGGCGTCCCTGCCACAGTCGGATCGCTCGTCCTCCAGTTCGCAAGAAAGCCTTAAGTAAGAATATCTCACTCGCCCTCATCTGACTATACCAGAGACCACCAGTATACAGTGAATTTGAAAAAGAGCTCTGTTTTTTTTTCTCTTCTTTTTCACAGTCGGCCGCTGTCAAAGTGGTCAGCTGCTCCAGGCAGAGGTGAGATCCTTACGTGTGTGTGTGTGTGTGCATGTATTGTGAAAATTTGTATGGGCAATTTGATGCCTATTGTGTTCAGTGACTTTAAAAATCTATTTTTATATCAAAAAATTTAATTACTGAATTGAGAAAAAGGTCAATATTTTAGGTCCTGACAATTTATTTTACACTCCTCGCCCATTTTAAACACCTCTTTAACCTAACTACTTAATTTAATTAATTGTTTTTTATATTAAAGTATTTTAATTTTAAGGTACAAATATTCCATACATAAAAATTCTAAAGGAATTTTCTAAATGCTGTTTAAGTTTGTATGAGAGAGCACGGGATGTTTAACTGTAATATGTGATAGTATGTGTAAGTAATGTGTAAAGTATGTGATTACCCATGTATGTCACATGTTCTGCAGCAGGGTTGTTATTGTTAACTAAAACTGAAACTTATTTCGAAATCTAAATATTTTTTGTTAATTGCAATAAGACCATATAAGAACTGAAATTAAAAAAAAGCTAAATAAGCTGAAATATAAAAATAAAAGCCTTGAAATATCAATAAATACTGAAACAATACTGGTTCACAGTGAGAATGTTATAAAAAATATCAATGTAAAAATTTAAATGTTTGCTTTTAGATTCCACTTTTCATGCTTATTTAAATAAATGTTGCATACACATTTTGTTTGTGTGTTTGTTATTTTAGTGCCTGCTTGTTCAAAATCATCAGGATCTCCAGGCTCTTTGCAGCGTTCCCGCAGTGATGTGGATGTCAACGCAGCCGCCGGTGCTAAAGCCAGACACAGCGGACAGGTTGGAGGGGCGGGCCGAGTCACGACAGGCCTGGCCCCTGGATCATACACATCTCTCGGTAGGAGCCACATAAAGTTGATGCACAGTTTTACCAGATTTGATTAACTTATGAATATGCAGAGCTCATACATGTGAATATACAGTAGGGCTGGGTAAAAAATATCGATATCTCGATATTAATCGATTCTAATTTTTACGGAACGATATCAATTTTTAAATCCCAAGACAAGGGGCATTTTGCTAAATATATGCACCAAATAACATTCATTATAAATTTTACTGTTCTTCAGTGTTTAATTTGTTTGAATAAATCCATCAAGTTTTTACGACAGCCACCATTATGTTTATATAAAAAAAATGAATTGAAGTAGAAATATTATTATGTAATTGTAACTTTATTATTTTAAAAACTTCATTGTGTAATTTTAACAAATCAGTCAATTGTAACCTTCAATATTATAGTAATGTAGTACCAACGGACTCTCGTGTATATTTTACAGCATTACTTGAGAGATTTTTTTTCCTTGAGAAAATTTGGCATGTACTGTACCTGATATATATCCAAAATAATCGATATTGAATTGAATCGAATTGGTAATCGAATCGAATCGCAAGCTTGTTGAATGAGAATCGAATCGAATCGAATCGTGAAATTTGTGTCAAAACCCAGCCCTAATATACAGGCTCTCCGCTCTTTTCTACCACACGCGATAGGAACTGAAGTGAAGAATTCTTAATTCTTAACACAAAGGTTACCTGTGTGTGTGTGTGTGTGTGTGTGTATGGTTGTGTGATTCTGTTGTGAGTATGTTTGTGTCTCTTGTTCTAACTGGTTTGCTGTGCTCCTCTCTCTCTTCTTGGCTTAAGATGATGCCTCTGATAAGGATGGTAAGATCATCTGCCATTTGCTCATCTTCATCTTCCCCTTTTCTTACTTGCCCTCTCCCTCTTTCTATCAGCCTTCTTTCTGCATGTAACTCATGCTTTCCTACTGTTTGTCTTTGAATCGTTGATCAGGATTTTGAGGTGATTTATATATGTATCTCTGATCTGTATTGAATTATGCTAGGTGAAAAGTTGTTTGCTTTTCTTTGTAGTTTTTCAGTGCTTTGTAGGCATAATAGGGAACCTGATCCTCACATATAGTGGGTGGAGCTCATTGTGTGTGATGTAGCGCTGCTGCTGTCTGCTGGTGGCATGTGGTATCGCAAGAATATGACTCATCTGCCTTTCAGCTTGTGGTTGTGCCAAGTTGAATTGCTTCATTAAAAATCATTCTTACTGATCTGATGCTCTCCTCTTACTCTGTCCATTCTGTCCTGTCTTCTTTTCTTTAACTCAATCATTAATATGTTCCCTCAATCACAGGCCTGGCCCAAGTGGGTGGTTTTGGAGGGCCAGCGAGACACTCTGGAAATCTCTTATTAGTAATTTGTTGGTGTTTTTATGATTGAACTGAAGTATTACAACATGTTTGTTTTTTCAAGGGCGACTACGGACTAAGCAGACTTTATCAACGGCATCTAGCATGGGCAGCAGTCAGGTGGACTCAAGAGGCCGGACCAGATCAAAGATGGCGTCTCAGTCACAACGTAAGTACCTACACACTGCATGTTCATACACATTCTACGTATACAGTGAAGAAGCACAAATATTGTAGATAAATATTATATACTATTCCTTACACACCTCTTATGTTGTCGTTTTGCTCATGTACCACACCATAAACACACTATATTAACATAACACCGCTCTCATGTAAATTTAATAGTCTGTAAATGTCTGTAAGTGCAAAATATTTGCCAATAGAGGATTGTACTGACTGCAAACTCCCAGGAATGATCCATACACAAATTTTATACATTTTATTATTCCTATTATGCATTTTTTACATTTATTTGAAATGGAAATCTTTTGTAATAATTTAAATATTTTTTATGTCACTTTTAATCAATTTAATGCATCCTTGATAAATAAAAGTATTAATTTATTTAGGAAAAATAAGACTCAATGCTATTTTTCTACACATATGGCAAGCATGCAGTGAAACATGACTATAAACCATCTTCACACCACGTACTGTAACACACATTGTCAACTGCATGTGTGTGTGTGTACGTAAAAGATTATCAGGAGTCATCCTGCTCCAAGGATGTAACCCACAGCTCCTCCAACTGTTTCTGTGCCTCTAGGTTCCGACGATTCTGATTGCACGCCAGGTACCCTCGTCTGACATTGTTGGGCGAGTGTGTTTAGTTCATGCGAACGTGTGTGAGAGCGTTTGTGAGCGAGCAAATGTTTTATGTCTTGAGTGGCCTGCATGCTGTGTGGTCTTCACTTGGGTGTGACGGTATCAGTCCATTTCTGCGTGTAGAAACACAAACTCTCAGACACATCGGTTTAGCGGTGAATGTTGGGCAGCCTGGGCTGCTTAAACATATTGAGAGTATTGATGGAACTAAAGCAGTGGCAAACACAACCATGATGTTTTTCATCTTTTGTGTGCCTTCATGGTGATGTTGTGAAGTCACGTCAGTTGCGATGCTGTTGCAGGGCTTTTTGAATCTATGTGCGCGTCTCATACTGATGTTTTTATTTGCAGGCTGATGGTTTTATTCATTTGTACGGTGTGTCAAAACAACACATTGACTGCATGTTTTTCCCCATAATGCATTTGTATTCGTTTAATATGCTGTTCCTCCTCCCACCCAATGGGTCTCTTGGACCCGCCCCGCTCCCTAATCCTCCCCCCTCATTGGCTCAGGATCACAGTCTGCTACCCCTGTTGGTGGTAAGATTTTCAACATATTTCACCTGTGACTCGTTCACTTAGTCCAGTCACTCCCATCCTGTGGGCCTCCAACCTCTAGTCTTACATCTTCCCTTGTCCTGGTTTACGGGGGGGAAAAACATGGGTTTTCCCATCAGCCCCCACTTTCTTTACTGCATGGAGGGTGTGTTGCTTGGATCACTTTGGATGGTGTTTTTTTTTTCTCTCTTCAAACCTGTGAATAATTTGTTAAACCTCACTTTAACGCTGGGCGGTATGACGGTATATATAAATTGTGTAATACATATTCTGCTTCTACTATGAATCTGCTACACAATTCCTGTATATATGTGTCGCAATTTAAAAACTTTGGTGTTATGTAATGTGAAGCTGTTTCGGTACTTGTGTCTATGGTAAATAAAGTAAGATGTTCCTTTCACATTGAAAGCATTTAAGCCACTAAATTATAAAAAAATAAATGATTGTGTTATGATTTAAAATATATTTGCTTGAATTTTCAGCAAAAATAATTATTGTGAGGCGTGTATTATTACCGTGACACAAGATTTTGGTCATATCGCCCACCCCTACTTCACGTCACTGAGTGGGGAAATTTAATGATTTGGTCACTGGTGTGTCAAAGTGCAGCGTGAGCATGTTCATTTGTGTTTGTGTAGAGTTTGTAGTCATAGAAACATTTTCACTTGTTCAGTAGGGAAACCTCATTCTTCCCTTTTTGTCTCGGACACAATCAGAATCATAGCACTAGCACTTCTATGTCAAACTGTCATCTGTGTCTGTGATTATGTTATTGTAATGTAAATTATTGCTGTCTGGATGAACAACAAAAATGTCAGCATAGCTATGATGATTAGTTTGTTGGTGACATTTAAGTTTGGCGATAGTGGACAGTCTGTTTTTTGTGTTATTTGTTATATATATATATATATATATATATATATATTTTATACTCTTTGTGTTAATGTTAACCCGGAAAACAGTATTTAATGCTCTTTGTGTTAATGTTTGCATATAAAAGCATTTATCGGTAGGAAGATGTACATTTCCAATGGTTTTTCAGGCTCACAAAACTTCTGTTTTTGTTTTCTGTATATTTACAGCGGGTTCTCGCTCGGGTTCCCCAGGCCGGGTTTTGACCAGCACAGCTCTGAGCACACTCAGTACAGGAGCTCAGCGTGTGAGTGCAGCTCCGGGGTCCCACCGTCGCAGCCGGATCCCACGCAGTCAAGGCTGCAGTCGAGACTCCAGCCCCACGCGCCTCTCTGTTGGTAAGCACTGACTTCTATCTGTGGTCTTCTATCGTGATGATCTCCTCAGTTATGTTTTCTCTCTGATGAATAAAAGACTATTTTTAATTTATTTTTAATCTGTTTGGGCATAAGTTGCAAAAGTGTTGCAATTGCACATTGGCTGTGAGACTTCAGTAGGCCTTCACATAAACAGGCGATAATGTTCTTACCAAAACTGAAATGTTTTCTTTCAATCAAAGCTCCTTCAAACATCAGTCACATCTACAATGGATCAAAAGGAGGTATGTTGGTGTTTTTTTTCCCCCTTGATCTCCGCCAGTCGTCCCATAATGATAATCCATCTGCCTGTCTGAGCTGGGACTGTCATCCTAATGGTGTTTCATGCTGGCGGTTGTGCTGTGTTGCGTGTAACACGCCGCTTTGGGAAAGCAGAACATGCCGTCACATTAACCTGCTGGGTCTTCCCTTGTCTGCTGTGATGTTAAACCCCACAGCTTGGTGCTGCTCTTTGCAAAGTGAATGAATGAAGTCCATCTCATGAATGCAGATGAACGTTGAACATTGGTTAAGACACAGGATATAAAAGCAAAGATCCTGACCTTCCACCTCCCATTTATTAGCATTCACCCTATAATCCTTAACCTTCTAATTGTTCTTCCCCTGTCACTAAATGTCTGCTCTTTTCTTATCAGTTCCTTTATTGTGGAATTTGTGCATGGAAAATTAGTACAAATGTCAGTGTTTTTATGTTGTTTGTCTTCCTTTTTCTGTGAGGTTCCTCGGGGCTCTGTATTGGGCCCTTTTTTCCTCAAAAAGTTCTTAGAAAGTGCTTAGAAAAACCTTATGCAATTGTTACAGCTTTTCTTTCTCTGTTGCTCCTACCTTGCCTGTCTGTTATACCTTTCAATGTCTCTGTTCTTCTTTATCTGTTTTTTCTCTCTGCTCTTGTCTTGATATGTTTTCTTGGGGGTGGGTCAGCGAGGGGTAGTCGTATACCACGGCCTAGTGTGAGTCAGGGCTGCAGTCGTGAGGCCAGCCGAGAGAGCAGCAGAGACACCAGCCCTGTGCGCTCCTTCACGCCGCTCGGTGAGTAACCACGGCAACCATTTCATCTATCAGGACCAATCAGCTTCAATTCAGCAGGGGCCTAAAATGATTAGACAAAATCATGCCATGCTGAAAAATTATACGTGTCCTCCTTCAATTCATTTGAAACTGGAAGTCAAGCTTCTGCACATTTGCACATTTTGCTCTTTACTCGACTCGCTTCAACGTTTTTGCTGCTACCAAACAGGAATGCTTGTACAGTGATACACAGCACTGCAAGCACATTCACGTTGAATTACAAATATTTTTTGAGGTTGAAAATCCCACATGTTCCAGCTTGGTCAGGAAGCAGTTTTCTCCTGGCCTTTTTTTTGTTTGTTTGTTTTGTTTTTTGCCTCATCTTACATAGTAAACATTGCTGATGAATGCTGACACAAGCTTCATCTGAGGTCCTTAAAATACAGCACACCAGAGAAAAATTATGTAAAACCACAGACAGGAAATATTAGGAATAACCCTAATAGTCATCAGTTTTCTTAATACCCATTCCTCATCAGTATCTACCCTACATTTTTTTTTATGTCTTGTTGAATATCCTGTTTTGCACAGAAATGAAGAAGGAAGAAAATTTGTTTGTGAATGCCGTTCCTTGATGACTGTATACAAGTACATAATGTGCAAAAGCCTTCTCACAAGTATTTAATTAAATTAAACATGGAGCCCTCAGTGTGCCAAAAAGTGCAACACATCTTTTTTCTTTTCTTTTTGGGAAATAATCAACATTTTCAAGTTTGTTTTGAGAGGCACAAACTTCAAAGTGGAATGAGGATAATAAAATTTAAGATAGAGACTCTGCTGCCAGCAATATTTTTGAGGTTAGGTAATTCAGAAGAACTTTTTTGAGGGGTGCCCAAGTGTGAAAATATTCCTGGTGTTGTGCAGAACACAAGCAGAACTGGACTAATACCCTTGAGCGTTGTGAAATGTGTGTGTCACAGCGGGGCATGTGTGTGGTTGGTGATGGCACATTCTCACATTACTGCTAATTGGGAGTTTCTCTGGTGAGCTCTAACACTTGCCTGGTTATTTACGCGCGTGTGTGCTTGTTTGCATTCTTGTGTGTGTGTTGCAGCATCCCGGCATTATTCTCGCTCAACTGGTGCTCTTCATGCCCCAGATGCCTTCGGTGCAGCAGGTGAACGGTCACCCCAGCCGGCACAGGACTCTTTACATTTTTTTTTTTTTTTTAAGTCATTGTCAGTTTTTGAATTGTAGTTTTTCATCTCCTCCTCCTGCTGCTTTCAGTTTAGCCTCCATCAGACCTGCATGCTTTAAGTTTAGTGGTCATTACAGCTGTTCCTCCAATTACATTTATAACAACCGTATTCAAGTAGATTCATGTGGAACATCTTTCACAGTCACCTATCATTTTTTTCCCTGAATTTAACCCAAGTTTTTTTTATGTGTGTACTTGTTTTTGGATTTTTTGTTGTTGTTGTATTGGCGTTTGTGGTTAAATTTCATTAGTGTTTTTCAGTGGTAATCATTTGTTTCTGGTTTTCTAGTGTCAATATCCATATTATTGGTGAATTATGTTTTAATTGATTTCTCAGTATTGATAAGATCACTGCATTAAGTTTTTTGTTTGGAAATGTATTTGTGCATGTATGTGTAAAATGTGTGATGTGTGTTGTAGGTTCTGGGTTGGGTATGTCTCAGTCCAGTCATCTCTCATCCTCAGTTAGTGCCATGAGAGTGCTGAACACAGGATCGGACGTGGAGGAAGCCCTGGCTGATGCTCTGGTAAAAATAAATACAGACACATATGGGAACTCTGCTTACACCCTTCTCACACACAAGTTTACATACCCTTTTATCAAACAATTACATACCCAGAATCTGACTTTTGGAAGTTTTAAAAAGAGAAATCATTTGTTTTATTTATTTGTTTATATACACCTTACAGATGTTTACGGTCAGTTTTTTTTAGTTTTGAAAGAAATTATTACTTTTAATCAGCAGGGGTGAAGTAAATTGATCAGACGTGACTGTAAAGACTTTTACATTGTTGCACAACATTTCTACTTCAAATAATAAAAAATAATACAAAAAATGTCTCATGGTTTCCACAAAAATATTAAGCACCACAACAGTTTTAAACTGATAATAATAAATGTTTAAGCAGCAAATCAGCATATTAGAATTAATTCTGAAGGATTGTGTTACTGAAGTTTACATTAAAATTTATATCAAATAAATTACATTTTAAAATATATTAAAGGGGTCCTATTATGCTCTTTTACAAAGTCTTGATTTTGTTTTGGGGGTGTGCTAGAACAGGCTCTCATACTAGGTTGTTCGAAAAACACATTAGTTTTCACATATTTTACATTATTACAACACCTCTCTCCCCAGTCTGGCATGAACGGCTCGAAT